TCAAAATACGTTATACATTTGAATGAATACTGTTTATTTTTTTAACAAAATATTTTGATTCAGAAATTTAAATCTACAAGGTAATATTACTTCAAGTATAAGTAAATCTTGCAAATTATTGCAATTGATTAATAATTAATTCAAAATAAAATATTTATTGAAACCAATTACTGGAAATTGAAATATGAAGGTGACAGTGTCTTTAAGTAAGAATAAGATACAGAATAGAAGAAAACTTTATCAATTGTTAAATATATTTTATATTATTTTATTGCAATTTGTGTATATATTTTTCAGTATATATTATTTCTGCATGGATTCAAAATAATTTAATGATTTATTTTTGGTAATGTATCCCTCATCAAATAATCTATTTTAGTTTTCACAGAATGTTGTTGTAATTGTCAAGAGATGAAGCAGAGGAGAAACAGAGTGCGTCACCGTCATCGAATCGAACGTTACCCATTGTGAATTAGCATAACCGGTCGGTCCAGTCAAGCTTCATTCCTTCATAGCCTCGTCCAGCCTCCCGCGCTGCTGAACCATTGTACAACGGAATGCGGTCTTCGGCCCCAAGACCAGGCCAGGCCATGCCATCCGCCGCTCAACTCGACTGGAGTCTTAAAACACACTTTACGAGAAAAAAAGAAGACGACGACGACGAAACGAAAGAAAGCAAGAAAGGAGAAGAAGAAGAAGAAGAGGTAGAGTCGAAGTCGACCTGCTCACGAAAAGGAGAGAACGAACGTGCGGATAGAGCTAACATAAATGGTATCAGAATATCGAAGGAGGGAGTCTCGTCTCGTATCGATGCAATAGAAGTTAAATACAATTTTTGGGGGCTCCTTCCTCCGCGTGGAAAAAGTTGAGGAGATTCTTCTCTCTGGTTTTCTTCTCCTCTTGTGTCCAGTTCATGTGCTGTTGGCCAGTGGCTTTTCCAAGGTCGTCCGGTTAGTAGGGAGCCGACAACGAAGCACATTCCAGGCGTAGGCGATTATACTGGATTATACCTGGCCACCTACCAAACCAAACCGAACCGACCCAACTCGAATGAAACAATCTTCTCTCGTCTCACCTCTCCGCTCAACCATCTCTATACCAACCGTCCACATACCAACAGCACTTTGTAACCCCAAGAAGAAAAATTAACAAACACAAAACAAAAATAATTTTATAAAATAACAACAATAATAAGTTTCAAAATACTTTTGTACAATATATAAGCATTTATTACTTTTTTTGCAATTATTAATTAAATTAGACTCACGGTCTTATGTTCTATGTTTTATGCAGTTTATTTTCTGTTTTTCTTTACTATAGTAACGTTACAATAATAACAATGCAGTAAAATCTAATTTATTATACAGCAATACTTTGTATAGTAATGGTAATATCTTCTGCCAATATCCCGGATTATCCGAAACCGGATTTGAAATATACACTACATTTTGAATGTTACATTTTTAAATGTTTGAAAATTTGAAATTTACTGTATTTTTTTAATCTTTGAAATTTACTGTATTTTTCTGTACTGTATCTTTGTTGAATTATGGTTAACTAACAAATGTTGAGGATGTTGAGACAATTGTTTGAAATTTACGTTAATTTATGAAAGTAAGAAATTCATGTTTCAAATTTACTATTTTATAAAGAATAATCTTTTTTTTATATACATTACTAAATCAGTTGCTTCAAAATCAACCAGATGGCAGCATTATACAAACGCATACAAATGATTTTTTGCCACATGATCAAATTTACATTACATATACAAAATTATAATTGATAAACATCACATAATATATTTATGATATAATAAAGTCTAAATTCGATCCTTTATGAAAATTTGTTAAAAATAATTTATTTCATTGAAATAATGAAATTTTTAATTAATTTAAATATATAATTTAATTTGTTAATTATAAATGAGAAAATTAAAACAAAAGTAGTAGTAAATATTATGTTTTTGTTTCAAGGTTTTTTCCTTAAAAAAAAACAAATCTTTATAATAATTTAGATTGTAAGATTCATTTATTTCAGGTGGTCTACATTATGTACAAATATGATGAACTGTTTTCTTAGACGCAATTCATGGAAACAAGTTTTAGTAGGATTGCTCGTAAATGCATATCTGAATGTATATCTAAATGTGATGAAACTAACGAAAATTGTTTCGTATAATATTAAGAAATCCGCAGCAAAAAATAATTGTAGCACATCTTTGTTGAAAAGGTTAACTAACAAATGTTGAGGATGTTGAGACGATAACGAAGGGAGTACCAACGAAGATCTCTTAAGTTTATCTCTAATAAACAGTTTAGTGACCTTATGCGTACAGCTATATAGAAAGGAACGTTAAAAATGGGGCCTATGGACTGATGATATATGGTCGTGGGAGATCCACGTGATACCAGAAGACCAACATATGCAAGTACCATTGGTGCCATCTTACCAAAAATGAAGCAACTACAAATTTTGCAATTCGCTTAATCCGCTTAATCGGGACTAGTACATCTTATCCCGATTAAGCGGCTGGTCCAATTATCCCAAGTTCCACAAAAATTACAGTGTTAATGTTTTTTTTTGATATTTTATTTGATAAATTGCACAAAATAAAGCAAGTCATAAAACTATACGTATGCATACATATTAAATAATTGTATACGTACTACAAGTAGAAAATGATATAAATTTTGCAACTATAAATATGTATGTATTAGGCGCGGTCTGTTCATGGATGTGGTAGATGCATACATAACATCCATGGATCCTGTGGTTACGCCGCATCCATGGACCGACGCCACGGGGATTCACATAAGACTACTGTCCCGATTAATCGGAATATTATCCCGAAAAAACGGAGTAAATTTGTGTTATTACCTTAGTTTTGTTTCCGTTCTTTAGGATTTGTCCATAATAGGCATATGTCCAAATTAAGCGGAATCGACTGTATTTAATATTTGTGTATTGCATATTGTTACTTAAAACAATTTTAATAACAACATTTAATACAACAAATATAAAATTACATAATTACAGACAAACAAAAAGTAGATTCGTAATTCGTAAAATAATTGCTTTAATTCACGATTATAAAATATTACAATAAATATAATATATTATCATATTTTAATCATAGTTAACAAACATATTAATTCGTAAATATCAATCCAATTTTTGCAACTAAATTTGTATATATATATTTTTTTAAATAAAATAAATATTGTACAAAATTACGATATATAAATTATATAATAGAACAAAACAATAGTTTAGTTGTTGATGTAAATGATTTTTTTATCGCATACACACATATATGTATTTTAATGAAAGATGTTTCCCCCGAGAATTGTATGTATCAAGGCTGTCGACCGTAGCTTTCAGGGACACGACTTATAACCCACTTGTTGTGCAACGCGTCTGTATATATGTATATTTCGATCGATTTTAAGTTACTCTTTATTACGTCCAAAATAAACAATATCTTTAAGAGCGAACATAAAACATATTCTGGTCAAAAGACTCCGCAATAATTTTACAAGACATTTTTTTTGTCCTTTATTATTTTAATTAAAAACGTAAGGACAAAAAAAAAATCATAATTAATCAAATTTAAGATTATTATTAAGTACCCATCAGATTAAAAAAAATTGTAGAATTGTATAAAATTTTAATTTCATAATCATGGTATAATTAAATATTGATTCTTTAAGAGTAATATTTTATTATTTCTACTATTTTTTATATAATTAACAACCTTTTTGACCTCACAAACCACTAAACTCAAAATATTGAATTTCGCAGACAACTAAACTCAAACTAATCCCGCAAACCACTACAAGGGTTAAAAAAAAGACAGGTTCTAAATATGAAATAGTATTTACATTGGGACATGCTAAAATTGCAAATAAAAATGGATTCACAATATAAAATGGAAACAAAAATATATGTTCCTTGTTCCGATACCATTTCATCCGTAGACGGAGGGTTGGGGACTACTGTTCTACATTACCCATGTACATGTTAAATACTGTTTTCGCTGAAAATCCTCCTGTTGCACAACATCATACATACGTGTCTTTAATGCACGTAATGTGTTTCTCGTCATTAACACTTATCACCACCCACATTATAGATTTTTCACCACCTGCGATTTCTCAATTATAGTCATTTATAAATTATTCCATTTGAAATGAGAAAATATAAAAAAAATACAAATTATAATTATACTAATATTGTACATTTCCTTAACATCCAGTTTTCATATGCATCTTTTGAATCCATTAAATCTATTATAGTTTCCGAAAAAATCACCATTTTTTTAAATTTTGATGAATATTGATTTTAAACCAATATTAACACAAACTATTATATTTTACTTATCAAAAGCTGACTTTAAACGAATTAATATATACGTTTAATATACCATGTTTTTGTACCAAGTGTCTATTTTTTTCTAACAAACGTACTTGATATCCATAAGGACATACACATTGTCAAAGACCATTCGTTTCAAATTATGAAAATAATTTCAGAAAATTAATATTCAATTTTTTTTTAAATAATCTTAATATATGTGTCATTGATAAGGATTTCTGACCCTTATTAATTTATATGTAATTAAGAAAAATGATTGAAAATTTCAATAAAAAAAATGTTAATATGACATGTTAATAGAGATAATTTAATATAATATTAAGTATAAAGTTTAAAATTGAGATTTTATTTAAATTCTAATAATTGGATGCGAAAATGTACGGCTGCGTTAATGTTTGCGGCTTTTGCTTTTTAGGGGCGGGTTCTGAAGATGGGGGTGGAAGTAAAGAGGGACCACGAATGCGTGTGCGTTGAAGAGAGACGAAACGAGTGGGAAGTGTATTTGCGTATAGTGGCGGCATACATATTTCGTCCTTCCACCCCCGAGTTTCCACGGCGCAGGATAACAAATGTTCTGTCGAGGGATATGATGGATGCTGGGGGTGGCAGTTTGCGTACGACTGTTGTGCGCGGCGGCAGCTCCTCTCCTAGATGATGACTCCAAGAAAAGTTTAAAGTGTTCACCAAAATGTATATCCTTATAGGACTATACGGGTGCTTATTCCTGTTTGGAGTGTATGGAAATGGGACTATTGCATTAAGTTTATTCAGAGGACCTGGCATCCACCAACGAAATCCGTTTGTGATAGCCATGGTCTTCGCAGATTTAATCGTATGCATCATAAGTATTCCAATGACAGTAACATCGTTGACAATTACCTGGACAGTAACAGCACAGCCAATCTTCAATTTCCTTCAAGTAAGTAACATTATCTATTTCTTTTACAATGTTGATCTGTTAATAGCAAACTGTCAAAATTCTCAAATTTTGTTAGAAAACAATCAAAAGTTGTTAGAAAATTTTCAAAATTTACTCGTAGTTATAATAAGGTGACCAAAATATTTTGAACAAAAAATTATATCACCCAAGTTTAAAAAGAAAAAATTCTCAAAAATTCAAGACATAAAATTACCAAAAACGTTCAAAACTTTAATGTTTCGATAATTTCTTAAAAAATTATAAGTGTATCTCTAACATCAAATCAGCAGATATTTGAAAAGTAAGTACCACTAAGTTCACTTGGCTTCAAGACATGTAAGTAAAACAATATTTTTTTTATATTTTTTTGGTAATTTCCTTACAATTGTATTTTTATTTAAATTTTTGTTGTAAAAAAATCTCAAATAAATGTTTCTGTTTTACGAATTTTATACAGATTTTATTATAATATAAATAAATTAAAAATTATTGAAAATAAAAGGAAGAAATTTGGAAAATTTTAATAGAAAGATTATTATTTAATTTGCAGTTTGTAAAAAACGTGTTTGTTGAAAATTTATTTATCTGAAAATTGGTAAAGTAATAAAAAATTATCGCCTACTAATTTATTAAAAAACGTTATTTTCAATTTAGCAAATGAAATAATGAAAACAAATAAATTAATTGTAAAAGTACGTCTATAACACTACGAGTCATGTAAGTATACAATATTTTTATATATAATTATATAATCTAGCTCATATTAATTTTTCATAATATGCAATAATTTAATGAAAAAGATTTTTTTGACTGAATATTTTGACTGAAAAATAAAATATTTGGTATATTTTCAAGCTAACACCAATTAAAATTTGTCATCAGTAAAGGTAAAAAAATAAGAAATTTTGTTTGTGAAGTAAGAGTATAATAAAAAAATTAAATACATATTTTTTTTCTAAGTGGCGTTAGTATTATTAATATGTCAAAGGTTAATTTCAATCGGTTTAGCGTTTGAATATAGAAATTAATATTAATATAAAAACGTATTATCTTTTAACTCAATAAGAGTAAATTTTGTTAAATTGGAAAAAAATCGGTTGAGCAGTTTGGACAATAAATGTTATTTAAAGTATACATTCGGTCATAACCAATTTTTTTTTAATATTTCACTATTTCATGATAGTTATAGATTCAAATCAGAATAATATTATGTGTCTTTAAGTTAAGAATCTCGATCTCTACAGCTACAAGACATGTAAGCATTTAATCTTTAAATATTTGTACTTGATATTTCACAGAATGTCACTATAGTACAGTATGCAAATAATCAATTGTTTTATAAAAAAAAACATAAAATATATAAAAATTAATATTACGTACTTAAAAATACATTGTTTATATAATTCATTTTATACTATATTTTTTTGTTATTATTTAATTAAATTGGTATTTTTATGTAAAATAGCAAAATAAATATATAAAAACTTATAGAATCATGTTCATAATAAATATCTGGTCACCTTAGTCATATTTGTGTATTCTAAAGGAATTTGAAGAGGGTGTTTATTTCTCATATCTATTTAGGTCTTGCCCGTTACTGCAAGCACCTTGATGATGATGGTAATCTCCATCGATAGGTACTTGACAGTAAAGGACTACAGTCCTCTTGGCGACTCCTCCCGCAGGAGACCCTACATGATAATGATTGTGGCAATCGTGATGTTGCTGTCTTGCATGTTCAGCGTATTTCTCAGTATTCCGAAGAAAATTCTGGGTTCTCGATACCTTTTTATATTCAGCTTATTGCTCGTGCACGTTTCACCACCAATTTTCGTCTTGATCTGCCACATCGCAGTATACATACAGCTTACTGCTATGTCATTATCTGCGAGGGCTAAACACGGAGAGATACCTCTTCCTTTACCTTTATTGAGGAAACCTACAAATGTCATAATCGTGGGTAGCGTTGCGAATCGCGTGGAAACTGAGGTAGTCATATTTTTACCTATGACCTTTCCGCTGCTATTACTGAGATCTGTTTCAGACTGTATTGGCGGAATCAATCCGGGAGCCGCAACCTGGGACAAGTAGGAGAGACGATCCTGAGGAACCAGAAGAACTTTTCGAACCTGAAAACAGCACACTGCAGTGCCGACGACGACTCGCCCGATATCTTCTCTGGATGTCAATTTTCTTCGCCGTATGTTGGATACCGCATGTCATCTGTACCATCTACGAAGAACTCTTCAATCTTGAACCATCTGAACTTCAATGGTACAGTCTGTTCCTCGGACACTTTCACTCTGCCGTCAGCCCAACGATCTACAGATCACTTAACATTCAATGCCCCAGGCCTCCTACTTATCGCACACCCAATCCCCCAAGAAGCGACTCTTCCACCAACGAAGCGTATCTTGGTCCATTCCACCCAAGATATTTCCGACCGCCACCCCAGCGCCGTAACTCATCTCTATGCCTCTTCTAAACTTCGATACCCAATACCTCTTACATACCCCTAACGCAACTTGTTTATAATCTCTCCCCTTAAATGTGCATAGTATTAAAGAAGTCCTTCTGGGAGCGATCCACCTACTGCATCCACCAATATTAACAAGCATCAAAGAAAAAAAAAGGATACATTGAAATGTAGGTAAGTTAGGGTAAGTAGAAACGAAGGAAATACGTCTATATCGTATCTTTCACTGAATTTGAAACCAAAATGAAACAAAATCAACGTCGATAGAGCTGAATACTATTATCGTCATTATCAAGTTGGGTGAGACACCCGATATTTTCAAAAGTTACATGTACCTAATTAAATTATAATATTATATTCTTATACTAAATGTTATAGAAAGAGATATATGTATATGTATAAAATCTAGGTTTAAAGATGGTAACCACAAAATATTATCACGATCCTGAAGTTTGGAAAAAAAGAAACGAAATTTTGGCGATGATTCAAATTACAAATTCATAACAACTATCGTATAAGCCTTCAATTTACTTAATTATTTTCGTTATATTTATTTCTTGATCATATTTAAAATTACTATCTTTTAATATAAGAAGGTACAGTATTTTGTGGTTGTTTGTTTCGTGAATGATATAGATAGAAGAATATTGTGAGACGCCTTCAACTAGCGACAATTTATTGTCCCGAAGGCTGGAACGTTCGTACAAAATGCGTGATATTGAAGATATAGGTTTATGAAAGATATATGAGAAAGAGAACAGATATATATATTATAATTATGCTAGGAATTGTGCTTTTTGTATATATGTATCTAACTATTTATGTGTATATATTTATGAAGGATGTACGGAAAATCGACACTTTTCGTATATATTTTCGGAACAAATTTATCCAAATATTTTTTACACTTCGTAATGAACAAAATTATGCTCTCTCAATTAACTTACCCAATGTTTTATAATTAAAACAACTTTATTAAAATGAATTTATGCTTAATTTTCGCTGCAAATTTTTATTTTTCCAATAAAATTACATTTTTTTTATCTAAATTAGATGTCATTTCCAAAAAAAAATACTTTCTTTAAATTAATTAATACACAAACTTCGAATATTGTAATATTTTCGATGTATTTTCATAAAGTTGTTTTATTGTCATTTTCCGTAAAAGATTGGTACTTGCTACAGAATAGTAAAATTGACGTATATATTAATCACTTTACAAAACATAGTAATAAATTAATAGTTAAGATCTTTAATAGAATTCTTTTTCAATTTAATTATTATTTCACTTACATCAATTTTAAAATAGATTGCTTTCTGTTTTTTTTTCAACTAAATTTTAATAATAATTTTACTTAAAACAACTATTTTGATAATGAATTTAAACATATTTTCCTAACTACTCTTGAAAATATATTTATATATGTATATATATAAAATTAGAACCCGTTAACGTTAATGCAGAAAATATATATATACTAACACTAATTATAATTAATATTAACTACTTTAGTATAATATATATATTACTTAAAAAAACATTTTTTTTAATTATCAATGCCGCTCATAAGCTACAAATTCATGTTAAGATATATACATAACATTCATACTTTTTGGATCAATAATATAATTATTGTAAGATATTAAATAATAATTCAACAAAATTTTAGAAGAAGAAAAAAATGGAGAAATTTTGATCAACAAACAATTTCGAATAATATAATAATAAGATTAATCAAATATATCGATGTTAGATGCTTTCTAATATAAGGATATTTACTAAACGAATAGAATTATTTGAATGTTTTAAAGAATATTAACGGTGGATGCAAAAAAAATCCCATATGTATAATCAGACTTGGGTGGATTCTAGATTCTAAGTATTCAGTTTATCTTATTAAATCTGTTCTTCAATTGTAGATGTAGTAACAATTTCTAAAATTAAGTAAACCCAAACTCTTAATATCTAATAACCAATATTATTACTATTAGGATTTAGATGGATTAGTTCAAAATAAGTAACGATTGTGTTTATATCTTAAAAGATTTGTTGATTAGGATTGTAGACTGAATCCTTACACTCATAAATTTGTTGATTTTCGATGTTTTATAGGCTGTAAGATCTCAGTCTATAAGACTCAGCTTTTTCCATATTCAATAGATTTGATTGATTGTTTAAAATTGTAAATAAAAAAGTATTAATAATTAATTAATTAATTAATTAATTATAGATTAAATACATGATAAATGCTCCCAAATATTAATATATAAGACATAATAATTAATTTCCATTTTGTTTCAAAATTTAGTATTATTTCAATAGATTATAAATAATAGGACAAAGATTATACAGACTAACAAGAAATTTGAAAAAATCGATGTTTCATGACTACAATTTTAGAACAGACTTTAAAATTTGGGATTTTTTTAGTTACACAGTTTACACGCTATTTCTTTTTTGCCTTAGGCAATTTACTTAATTTCGTACCAACTATGATGCAATTAAATGTTTAAATAATAAAATAAGTATATTAAGAAAAAAATTAACTATATTGATGTTAGATGTATGACAAATTGCTCCAAAGTATTAAAATTTAATTAACAATAATTAATAACTATAATTAAATTAAATATTTAAAACAATAAATTAAAAACTAATTACACCTATCCCCCAATTTACACGGTGATTGAAAAAAGTGTAAATCGAAAAGTATGTGATTTTTAGACCGTGTAAAAGCGAAAACATGTAAAAAAAATACCGTGTAAAACGAGGGATAGGTTTTTATTGATATTAGTTGTATGACAAATTGCTCCAAAGTATTAAAATATAATAAACAATAATTAATTTTATTTCATAATTATGAGTAAATTTCGAAGGATTATCGATTAAGTTGATTATCGATCTTAATAGTTGCTATGCAAATTAACTTATTTATGCTTCAAGTCTTACAAGAAATTTGACAAATTGGAACTAATACTGACTACATTTTTAGAAAAAACTTATACTCTTAAAATAAATTATTTTTTTCCTTGATACAAAATTTTTATTGTTTTTTGTTTGCCTTAAGCAAATTATTTCATTTCGTACTACTATAATGGAAGTAAATGTTTAAAATACTAAAATATGTATATTAATAATTATATTGATGTTAGAAAAAAATTCAAATTATTATACACAATAATTAAATCAAATTTTAATATAATTTCAATGGATTTTAGACATAACATTTTAGAAAATAATAATAAACAAAATAAATTATTTTTAATAATTAGTTTTCACTAAGAATATTCAAAATTTTTCTTCAATATTTAAACGATAATAGAATGCAGAAATTTAGTCTTTTTCTTAATAATATAACATTTTTAGAAACTATATTAGAATTCCATAATTTTATCTATATAAATCAACCACTATAACTATATTAATGTTACATAAACGAAATATTTCTACAGTTTCTAATTAAATATTTAGCAAAATTATAAACTTTTCAAAAAAAAAAATAGAAAAAATATAATAATTAAAAAATATCACAAAATTTGAATCAAATATAATTTTTAAATTAAAAAAAAATGTATGTAAAAATTTATTTTTATTTTTAAACCGTCAAAATTGTTCTTAATTATATAATATAATATATACTAGAATTTAAGAAACTATAATTCTAATTACTATAAAATAGTTTAATTGAGGTCCACAGCCCTTTAGCCCAAATGGTGACTAATAAAAATATGTTTAAATGAAATAATAATTTCATTGAATTATGAAATATTCTTCTCTCGCAACGTGTTTGCATGCTATATGATAATAAACTAATAATATAAGTATACTAAAATTGATATAATTGAAGTTTTCTAACTTAATATATCAAATAGTGAAATTTATATTGTTTTATTGTAAATAGTTGGTGTTTAATAATTTAGTATATTATTATTTCTCTTTATTCTGGGCTGAATTCAGTCTATATCCTGATGGGCCTATAAATAAACTAGAATAGACTAGTGGTGCAGTCAAACAAGTTCGGGTTAAAGGCTTAAATCTGCATTACTAGAATAGACTTACACTTAATAAATGTCTACAGTAAATTTAAATCTTAAGATTATTATTTTTTTTCTAAATTATTTTTATTATAAAATTCACTGAAATTTTCAACTAAACCAAAGGTCAACAACGTTTTCGGAGTAAAGAGCCATTTTTTATGATATTACGTTGTTAAAGTAAATGTCTAGGGAGCCGCACATAGAACTATTATCGCGATATTCACTTATAGCCATCGCTTGCTTAGAGAGCCGCATTTTATTAACAAAAGAGCCGCATGTAACTCCGGAGCCACGGGTTGCCGACCTCTCACCTAAACTACTATATTATATAAGTACACATAGTAATTATATGTATCAATAGTCAATATCAATAGTTTACTTTGGAAATGCTTTTTTTTCTAATTATATTATTTTAAACAAAAACGGTTCTTTTTTGTTAATACTATTGCAAATTGATACTCAATATTTTTTTTAAGTTTCAAAATAAATTATTTCCAATAATTTTATTTAGAGCAAACAAGAAATATTTAACTTTAACACAGTTATGGAAAATAAAATAAAAATTACATTGATGTCTATAATATTTAGAAATTAATAATAAGCAAATCCATGGAAATAAACAAACAAAAATAACTTAATTGCTCCAAAAAAAAAATAACAATTTCATGAATACAATATAAAATATCTGGATTTTTAAAACATAATTAAGTATATTAGTACTATCAAATATAAATGCACTTTAATATAAGATAATTAAGTTATTTTATTTTTTTTTTAAGTTTTTACTTTAGAAAATTACAAGGAAATAAATAAACCTAAAAATGAAGAACAACGAAATAACAAGTTCAGATTTTAAAGTGGTATCTTTTAAATATATTTGTTTCAAAGACATTTTACTTATTTCATGTGATTAATTGAAAGAAGAATAAAAATACATCAATTATTTTTTAATAATTTTACATTTAACAATGGAAAATAGTTACCTTTAAGTAAATGATTCTAATAAGTTATTAGTATATAATTATGTAACAACGCACACTTGATAAGATATTAAATACTCTAGTTGCAGTGGTGTGTAAATAATTTTACTGGAGTTCGCAATACGCGAAAGCTTTTAATCGTGCAGATTAATTCTAACTAACATAATCCATCATTATCCAGTATAAAAACTTTACGCACCATTATAAAATATATAAGAAAAGTAGATTACAAAAAAATGTTGATGTTGACATATTTTCTTTATTTACATTAAATACAACAATTTTATGACTTAGTTTAATATTAGGTTGTAAGGATATAGCCTGTATGTGTTTAAGACTATTCTGTAATTGCAATTGTAAAGAAGTCAAACGCGTTACATCTAAATAAAGTCTTACAAATTATACGACTGCAAACTATCAATTGCAATTTTAGAACAGGTCATATGAATCTATGTTAAATTTATACTTATTTCTGTTAATATAATTGTCTTAGGTTATTAATTTATTAAGTTTTTATTAGCTAATTGTAACATAAACTGTAAACGAGTTAATGGTTAGCTTCAAATAAACATTTTAATTTTTATGTTTGACACAAAATTTTATTAAATGTTATGCGGAATTGGAACAGACTTTGTACAGCTATTTAAATGATGATCTGATCTGCAAATACCCAATTCTAAAGTTCGATTGTTTTTATATGTGTAAATTATATTTATTTGTTATTTGTGTCAATAAATATGTCTACTAATACTACTAATTTTTTTTACTAGTTTCATAATGTACAAAAATGTTGTATCTTTTTTTCTCTATAATAATTCCCGATGTGTATATTTATTTATTAAAAAACAAAACAATAACTTCAAGTTCAAATTGTGACACCTTGTACATAAAAAAATGAACAAAATACATATTTTGTCTTGATATAACTTTGCTGCAGTGAAATATTAATATTGGCCACTTTGCGCAAATGTTCTTCGCTGTCCGACAATCAAATGTCTTATTTCCAAAAAGCTTCACAGCTAGGTGTAAGGTAATAACTACCAGAACCTTCCCCTACCAAATCCTTACATCGTTATTAAATAATGTTACAAAAAATTAATGAACGATAGGTAAAAGGTACATTTCTTCTTTGTTTCTCTTTGAAATGCTCATTTGGAAAGTAGAGAGAAAGTTGCGATATTTAAATGTCCGCGATTTCGTTTCGTTTTTATTTTACTACAATTTGAAATTCGCGAACTTCCGTTGCTCAAACCATGTTCATTTCTCCAGTGACGTTCATCAATGAAAAATTATAATGATTTTTGCTACTGTTTCAATTAAATATAAAATTTAAAAAAAAAGTCAATATCTTCATCGAAATACTTAATCACCTCTAATTAATGACATTACTCAATCATCTACTTAATTATTTAAAGTCCATTTGTTTATATAATCAAGAACTATCATATTTTCACATAAGATGAAGATGTTACATAGATAAATTGCAATTACCGGTATATATAAATATTTGTCCTTTGGCACAGATTTCAAATAAATCAAATTTATTTTAATTGCCATAACTTTCTCTTACTTTCTAAAATGATGCTTCAAAACTACCCCCAGTTCTCTCAGACAGAGAATTCATGCAATTAATTATTTATTTTGACAAAATAACTCTATTTCACTTTATAAAACATAAGTAACGAACGTTAGTGGACATTTCATTAAATACATGTATGGAATACCCTTAAAGTAAGCAATACATTCTATAATAGACTTGTCATGTGTACTTATAAACAAATGTGCAGTGAAGTGCGTTACATAACTTTAACCATATTGCGTGTTATATAATGTATACCTAGTGTTTTATTAAAGCAACTAATAACAATGTGTTATAGTAATATTTGTTATAGTTATATTAGATATACGTATTTGGATTATTATATTTTAAGTGTTAAAGTAAGTAACTTATCTTTAATCTAAATTGCATAACGCTTAATGCAATATAGGTAGAAAAGTTTTGGACATCTTATAATATTATTTGGAAAGTTGTCCACTACTCTAAATGTAATAAATCACTTTTAATATAAGTTGCATTAATTTCCTGTGAATATATATATACATCATATTAATTCCCTGATATGTTAACATTTGCTAAGAACTCATCTCTGGCGATTATACAAAATCCTGATATATATATTATTATTTTTATGTTTAATAAGTATATTAAAGTTATATCCAAGTTATAGTGATTTATGCAAATGTTTAGGGTTGTAATTACCATCAGCAATTAATAACGATTCAATTGTTTTATAACAATTTGTAAATTATTCTACTTTAATGCTTAGACACAAACTATGATTAAAAATAATATTTTTTATTCTGATTCATATTTTATACAATTCATACAATTTATACTGATGTATTTTCAATTTTTTTTATGTGAAGAATTCTCTATTAACAAAATATACCTTTTTTTAAAGAAATACACATTGTAAGCATGATGCGTGACTCCATTAACATTCCATGTAGCTATACATAAACAATGACTTAATATGGAGTACACGTTGATTCTTTGAGGTAAAGCAGATTCGTTTTTCGAATTAACTATCAACTTTTTACGAATTGACTGACGGGTTCATTTCATATTATGATGTATCAACAATGATTCTTAACTTTCTTCAGGGTTATTTATCTTTTATTACACATTATACCGTGTACTTACAGGCTAGTTTTCTATTGATTATTAGTTAATGCTTTTAATTGTATTTTTTGCAATTTTAGTTGCTTTCTTTGGCCATCTTATTTTCAGATTCTTAAATCGACTGACAAACAAATTACAAACTTATTAAAATCAAATCAAATATAAAAATATATTGCATTTCAAACTTATAACTGAAGTAACTGAACTTTCTTCAAAATATTAAATTCATAAGTTTTTTTGATGTAGAAATTATAATTTGTTTATAAATACAAAATTCGACCTTATTTGCGATCTATGTTAAAGAAAACAGAATTTATCATCAAATACAAAAAACTTTGAATAACAAGGACAGTCATAGGCAACCAAACTACTAGCAGCCTTATCCAGTACAGTGATTCTCAAAGTGCAGGTTGTGACCCTCAGGGGGTTTGCAAAAAAAATAATAAAAGTTACGTAACATTCGTGTGGTCGTTGATGTAATTATCTTGAAGGGTTGTCGAGAAATCTCAAAACATCGGAAAAATCGTCTATTCCCTATTGCGTAACGAACATTTCGAAACTTTTGTTTCATGAAAAGGTGCGTAAGGGTGGCGCATCTTACGCAATCATGAAATGCAAAAGTTATTAATTTTTTTGTAATTAAGAAAAACGTGAGTTTATATTTGTAAGTTAATTGCAGTTGATTTTAATTAAAATTAGAAATTATTAAAGTGTTTTCACCATAGTCAAAGTTGAGAAATAACAGAGTAATGAAAAACGTGAAAGAAATGTGTATAAAAAATATGTTTTTATGTAATAAAATATAAAATTTGTAATAACATAATAAATAACAAATTAAATTCTCAATGTTTTTTCTTGAGTTCGGTTACTTCTTCGATGCATCGGTCGATGATCGATCCATACTTCTTATCTGCATCACTTTTCAGATATGTCAGAAGTGAAAGTGATGATTCGATCAAACCCTTTTCATTAAACTTATCTGAAAATAATGTCATAAGTATTTTATATCAATTATAATTATATAAGATTCTACAAACTTCTACATAAAATATCATGCAGATCGTCAACAACTTTTCGGCACAGTTCGCTTTTGAAAATAACATCTTTGAAGTTCTTCATATACGTTATGCACATTTTGAAATCGTAGGATCCATGGATTATCCTTTTGTCGACTTCTTTTCCTTGAATATTGAACATAAGGGAAAGAAGTAATGACAATCTTTTTGAGATTTGATGAACTGCATTCATCTGACACGTCTTCTTATTATAACCATGCAAAAAGTTCACAACTGTATTAGGACAACAAGAATAAATGTTTTTGCCATTACATTTGTTCCTTAAATCTAAGTTACTTGTCAACATTATCTGAAATAAATGAGAAATAAACTAAGGATAATTGAAAATTTATTAATTACAGTGATTTTCTGCTGAGCCATTCGAAGACACGTCTTAAGAATTGAATCATCTGAGGATAAATCTATGTTAGTTGTGGTAGCTGACTCCATGATCGATTCACCTAAAACAAAAGTATAATAACTTGATTTCTTCTTAATAAATTATTTCTTATATCCTAAGATTCAAATTATAAATGATTCTATATAAAATTGATATATATAGAAAGATTACCAATAAAGTTTCCCTTTTTAGCCACCAAACAATCATTTATAAATTGTATAGCTTTCCTACACTGTTTTCGTAAGTGATGAGTTAGCGGTCTGCTTAAATTATATCCATCTTTAATATTGTCCAATTCTTGTACAACAATCCATGGAACATATATCACGGGTGATGTTCCGTCTTAAATATGGATATATAAAAATATTGAAAATTAATAACATATTGTTATACAAACCACAAAATAATATTTGTAAAATATTAGAGATTGTTTCCAACTTGTCTATAAACATGTTAGTATCAATAACAATATATATACTATTTGTTTTTTGTACAGGCTCATAATTTAAACTGAAATAAGTAGTCTTTTTCTTATTTGGTGAACATTCTGTAGTCATTGTCTGACTCATAGAATGAATCTGTAATTATATTAATATAAACATATTAATAGATAAAATAATGTGTATATACATATTCTAGCAGGTATTGTTCTGGTATATAAGTATAATTAAGTTCCATTTCCATCATCAACTCGTCATCATCAAAATCTTGATCACTATTGGCATTACAAATCAAAGACGCGTTGGATAAATCCAATTGGTGCAAAGACTCATCAAACGAAGATATAAGAATTGTCTCAGGTATGTTAACTGTTTTCTTATTTTCTGTTGAAGTAACCATATTAAAATCGAATGGATTGTTGTTGTTCTTATTATAAGTAGAGAAGTTAAAGTTGGTTGAATTTCCTGTTTTTGGATTTGTTTTACATTGAGTATTGATATTGTAATTTCCCATTTGTTTCTTATAGCTAGGACTTTCGTAATTAACCAAGGACAGTTTCATGATTTTAGATCTGTTATTTTCAAAAAACGCCTCATCATTACTCGAATAATTTAAAGGTTCTTCTTTTATACGTTCTCTATTATTTTTGTTCTTCCTCTTGCGTTTCCTTTTTCGATTATTCTTTTTTGGATAATGTTCCAAATCCATTATTCAACTAATTAACTTATCTCTTAACACTTCCAAAAGCTGGTAACTACAAAATACAATTACATAAGTTTTGTGATTAGACGTAAATTGCTAATTACAGTTAAATAAACAAAATACTCATTATAAATATTAGCAGCAATTAATTCTGTACAATACCTATTTCCACTTATTCACCTGTTTCCACTGTATTTCATGGGTTAAATGCAACAAAATACATACAAATAAATGTCAAACTGTACACGACGTAGATTATATATTTTTTTGTTCGACGACAGATGCATTTTGTTGTTGTTTTTTTTTATTTATAGCAGATATTTCACTTATGTTTTAAATTTGTAGGTTTTATTTTATATTTATATATTTTCACGTTGCTTAAAGAGTTCACGACAGTGTTCGGCAACCGTTTTGGAGCAAAGAGCCATTTTTAAGTAAAAAATGTCTAGGGAGCCGCACGTATCATTCTCATCAAAATAGCCGCGATTTGTCGAGCCCTGGTCTACAGAATAATCGCTTCGTGGCTTTATGAGCTATGATCAAAGTGTAGTCTACAGAATAATAATAAGAACTTATTTATTTTTTTTATTCTTAATAATTTATAAAATATTAGTTATCAATGTGTAAAATGATTTTCTTGAAACGAAATGTTGGTTGTAGTAAAACAAGTTATTAATTAGAATATAATATATTCTTTGATATTTTTATCAGGTGTCACATAATTCGTTGTGTAAGCTAGCGTGATATCGCTATGTAATTGTGATAAATAAATTAGTAAGTTGTAGTAAAAGGTACATAACACTTTTGTTTCTCTCTTAAATGCGTATGTGGAAAGTAGAGAGAAAGTCGGGCGCTCGTGTAATAACGTGCTCAAATTCCATGTAAGAGAGCTTCCCATCACCATCGACATCAGCCTCTTCAATAACCTTTTCAGTTATCTGCTGCATATCTTCTGGTGATAACTCGCCATAGGTAAGCAACCTAATCGCCTGATCCAAATCTTCTGATCCTATATGCTGATCACCATCGAAATCTACAACACGAAAACTATGATTAACTCTGATTATTCTTCTTATACACATCTATTACCATATATTCGGAACGCGTAGAAGACTTTGATATCCCTCGGCGCTTGTTCGCTGAAGACCGAAAGAAGATCTAGGAAGTCCTCGAACGAAAGGTTACCTTTACCATCGCGCGAGAACACCTCGCAGATACGACTTCGGAATGGATTCTCCTGCAAAGAAAAGCTACCTGCGGATGTCAGGTTCGGTTTCTCGTCATCCTTACCTTCAGCTCGGGCAACTTCTCCATGCTCTCCAAGGGAATCCTAATAGTGACTGGCTGATCTTCGATCATATTCTTTGGAACTAGGTCAGACCGCACCTCCCTGAACCGCTTGTGTACCCTGCAATCCAAGCCCCCGTTCAACTAAAGCACTATAACTTCATGCTATAATTATAATTACCTTAATATCTCTTTCCTTGTGAAGAATGTGCAGTCCTGCAGGAAGCAATCTTTCAATGACTATTTATTTACTTTTTAAATCACTTAAACTTACTTGATAATTTTCGAGCTGTTGCTCGCTAAAGGTGACTAGTTTGTTGCCCATCGCGGATCATTTCGCGCTACTGACTATCCGATGCCCTTCCTGACCACGTTCCACTTAGTATCCCTTGGCAACCAGGAGGCGCGGCAACAAGTCATTTGTTTTACGCCTATTGATTTATTTTTTTGCCCTCGAAACCATTAATTAATTAAAGTAAATACTATTCGGAGAACTCAGCATCAAAGTTTTATATTTCTTTTATGCAACCAACACAACGACATAGTTTCAAAGTTGTGCGATATCAAAATAATCTTCGAGTTTAGTACAAAACTAGTTCAATATTTGAAGATTTCTTATAAATAAACAAAGTTCTTGTGGGTTAGATAAAATGAAGCTGTAGGACAGATATGGCTCGCAGGCCGCATTTTGTACATGTTTTTTTTCATAACAAAGCCATAGAAATTAATATTTTTAAGCTTATATTATTTTTATTACATCACTTGTAATTATGGATACTACGTACATAGGTTAATAGTTAATTTTGTTGTTAAGTACATATAAACTAAATTGAGCTATAAATGTATGATAGACAAAATAATTGTTAAATATAAATGTTAACACATTAAGTCCCATAAGAAATAATAATAATAACATTTATTATAACAGTCACATAAAAACCAAAATTGTAACATATTTAAATAATCTTAAGAACAAAAATTATAAATGATCACTTGTTACAAAGAGCTATTGACCAAAAGTCTTTTCAATATATTTTAATTAGTGGAAATACCTCTAATAGTGCGTTTAAACACGCATAAAAATAAACTCTATACAAAGATAGGTTGGTGGAAAGATCTTGGATGATAGCTGTTTGATCCTCATAAAGATGTTAATAAATCATATATGTTGTCAAAATCCCTCTGTATATATATATATATACAGAAATGAGTAATCACCTGTGTTATGATCTTTTATTCATTATGTGCTTTAATGTTCTACATGTCAGACATACAATGAATTTTGTAATTGCAATATTTCCAAATTGTTCACAGTTTTTGTGTTACAACATTAGAAGATGTCGATAAAAGAATAAGGTAAGAATACTATTTTGTAAATTCGCGGTTTATTCATTTGGAAATCAAAAGATCAGCTAATAAATTTTGAATATATCATATACAGGTAAACATCGTTTTACGCCGGTGCGATTTACGTCGATTCACAATTACGCCGCTGTGAAATAACGCTTATTAATTGCTAATTTTACACTTATATAGAACTAAACCCAATAGTTACCTCATATGGTTTCATTTTACGCCGATTCGATTTGCAACAGCTTTTGTAGGAACGGAACCCTGGCGTAAAACAAGGTTTACCTGTACTTTCATAAGATTCATCTCCATAAAAAATACATCGAATATACTAAGATTTATTACATTCTTTATATGTAATTAAATAATGTATAAGGAATAGCCGCAATGTATTTCTTTTCATTTTTAGAAAATCTGACATAATACGAAACTATTGTGTCAGTAAATGGAAATTTTAGTGGAAAATATCTTGAAAAGAATCAAATTAGTCAAATATTTGGTTTCCACTAAAATTTTATCCATTATATTTAGAAAGTTGTAAAATACTTATAAAACGATGAATGTCTTTTATTTATTTCACATATTTGAACTAGATTTTGTAGTATCTATAAACATAACTTGAATAGTCATTAAAGTAAGAAAATCAAGATTTAATGTGTGATATCTCATGGCACGAAGTTATGTAATTAATTAGTTAATTTGTAATATAATGATATAAAACCTAACGATCTAAGAGATCTGGCGTAAGTTGTAAAATGAATATTCATTATATTTTTTATACTAAATGTGCAACGCATATCAATTCTAATTTATCCATAAACTAATATAGTCCGCGCTCAATTACGTAACGAAACTACCGTACGCTACACGAATTTTTAAATAAACTGATATCATCCCATAATTTCCTTTCTTTAGCTATGAAACGTATTATAATAGAGAAAGATGAAATTGAACGAAAACTTGAACTGAATATGTTAACAATTTCGTTACAACTAATGAATTATTAAAATTGCAATGGAAAATGTGAACAAAAATCAGTATTGAAAATGTTTTAAAAATGGTAAAAAAAAATCAAATTCCTGGATAAGACTGAATAAGTTGATAAACTTAATTAGAAAAAAAATCTTCAATTAAATCAAATAATATTAAAAAATCACTGTAAGTGACAAACACAAAATAATTCTAACTTTCGTTATTCAAACAAGGAATATACCCCAAGGCAATACTTGATAAATCAAGCAACGCATAACAAAAATCAAGCAATTTCTTTGCATAAAAGCACACATCAGAATACAGTAAAGCAAACTATAGATACAAGCACACTATTAATAAAATTATAGTAAGACCTTTAAACAAAATAACTATTATTTGAATACAGCGGTAAAACTGCAGTCAATAGCCCATTGCACTTTTTTTTGTACACATATAAATTATAGTTATTATTATATAATTAATTTATATTGAATTAGATATACTTGCAAAAAAAAATTAATTATACACTCTTGGATACTTCTAGTGGTTGATGTGTTTAGGGTAACCTGAAACTTCCAAATGTATACTTTATACTACTAAATATAAGGGTCTTCTGGTCTTACAACTTTAACAGGACAAATTGCTAACTACATACATTGATGGACAATACAATTTGACGACTACCTACAAAAAGTACATAGATCAATGTTATGATTGGTTGAAAATATAAATCTATTCTATGTGGTTAAAAGAAGTAGAAAAAGATATTTGAACAAATTAGTTTTATTTTCTAGATGAAATGTTAATATTTACGCAACAAATATCCGCGAAGCATAAATAATTTAGTTGTTTTGTATACAGAAAATCTACTGATATAAAATAAGATTCTAACCATTTATTTACGTTGTTATATAATACAACATTAAGTCTTTTTGTTTCACACTATTAGACTATAAATCAATATTCGATTGAATATTACGTTTGTAAAATCTATGAACATAGTATAGATTTTACAATTAAATTTGGAACATGTTTTAATAAATCATAGTATAATACTATGTACATAACAACTAACTATTGTGGATGTAAACTGCAGTTATTGCACAATACTACTATTTTATTATTTAGTTTAATTGATTTAACTAAGAATGTAACGTTTTTAATAAACTTTTAAAGTGCGCACCTGCGCAAATTATTATTAGATATTTACTTAAAATATCTTTTAGTTATAGAAAACTAAAGTATTGTTAAAACAATAGTATCAGGTGCAAATATATCATTATTTAGTATTAGTAACTTAGGAAACATATTTTGTTTATATGGAATATTTCAATATAATTAATAGTTTATCCCGAATTGTACGATTATCGTGAATAGTTTGACATAAAAAAATATAGATTATGTTACATATTATAACTATAACTATATTCAAAAGTCATGTATTTTTCCTGTATTATTATAGTTTTTACAATTAGTTAATAGGGCACAAAGATGAGGTCAATAGACCGTATATACGTATGAGCATATATTATGTATAAAGTCTGAATATCACTGAAATGAGCGAGATAAACATCATGTACTACTTTTGATAATATTATTTGAAATAAATCTAAATGTATTTTGTGAAATTTATCTGCTTTGATATATCAATATTTGTTGAAAATGTATTATATTCAATATCTACCAATTAAATGATATAATAAGCAATGTTGTATAAAGATGTCATCAAAAGATGTTTATAATTGCAGCTTTTTAAGCGCGGCTCTACGAATGTTAGTATGTGTATATACAATGACATAATTAGAGAAGACACGACAAATGGAATACAAATTCTACAACATATAACTATATACAAACAATAAGAAACAGAAAGAAATACATTTAAAAATAATAGTAAGAGAAAGAAAGATAACTAGTACAGTAATTGCTAGGACCTTCTCATGGTTAACATCGTATTAATCTCCCAGATAATTCGACGTAGATGATCAATAACTTCTTTCAGTTGTTTGTTCTTCAAAACAACTTGCTCCATGACTTCCTTACTTTCTTCACAAGCGGAACGATAAGACTCAGAATTTTTCTTCTCATCGTGTTTCGGATCCATTTCATCTTTGAAAGGTATTAAACTTTCTATATGAGTGTACTCCATTCCTTGAATTTGGCAATTTTCATTACACTTTTCATAAATCAATCTTAGACGTTTAAATAAAACGCGTATAGTGCGTAGTTGCTCTTGCACTTTCACCTTTTTCTCATTGCTTGCATTTGAACCTTGTGGTGTACCATTAGGTGGCTGGCATAAAATGTTATAAATATATTTGTCATATATAAAATGAAATTCATTTTACTCACTTGTATAGCTTTTAATGTTTGGAACACCTCTTGTGTCCTACTTACAATATCTTGCACAGTTTCCTGACCTATCCTACAAAGAGATGCAGTATTAAATTCTTTTGATTGCTGTGGTTGAGCTTGAACTACTGGAGGTGTTGGAGTTGGAGCAACTGTTGCACCATTTGGTAAAACTGGTGGTTGAGGCATTGTATGATGCTGCATACCTAAAAATAATATTTAACTTTATTTTCACTTATATTCCTGATACAATTATACCCATTGATTGAGGTGGCATTTGCATTGCATTTGGTGGCTGTGGTTGCATTGGATTCGCAGGTCCTATGTTGTACTGTTGATTCATGTTCATAGCCATTTGTGTATTCGAGTTCATTGTAGCCATTTGATTTGCTATTGTATTCCCCATCTGGGCTGCCATCGGATTACTCATTTGTGGATTCATTTGATTTGCCATAGCATTTCCCATCTGCGACATCATTTGGTTGGACATTTGTGGTCCCATTTGATTGCCCATTTGAACTGGCATCTGATTTGATAACTGATTAGACAATTGATTTGGAATTTGTGCACCGATTTGTCCTGCCATTGGGCCACCAAATTGACCCCTCATACCTTGTTGGGAATTTGCCAAGCCTGGCATAAAGTGATGAGCCGGTCCAGACATTGTTGTTTCTTTGCCTCGCATCAACAATAACTTTACAATTAAATCCAAATGCCTTGACAGGTATTATGATCCTGGAATTATATTAATCTATGTTGGTATTTGTACTTTAAATTAAATATTAGCTAAACTTCATACATACCCTATTTCTTATTGTTTATAATGAATAACCTATTATTCTTGTAGAAAATAATTAAATAATTAATTAAATACAATCTTAATACACATAATAACTATAATAAATACATGTTTGGAGGGAAATATATTCCAAACCAATGTTGTACATGCCGCGACCACTTCACCAGTTCACTTCACTTCCAAACAGAAATAAATATTTCGCAACGTCGTACTTTATGTTTCTATATTTATTCCATAGAGGTCAATACAATAAACATTTATGCATTAAAAATACTTTATAATACAGTAATTTCAATCACAACTTTAAATTACATATAAATTTCTCATACATTGAATTAAATACAAACATTTCTATTAAATTGAACCATTGAAACATTAAATTGGTAGCAGAATTGTTTTGAAATTGTAAGTCTATACGCACCTTTCAGGAAAATAAATTAACATAAAACAACATATCCTATCCTAAAACACATAGTAAACATATTCTGCTTTTTATATTAAAGTTCATCAAATTATATTAATTTAAATTAATAAAAAAAAAACTTCAAATCTTGATGCAATATTTTCTAGAAAGTAGAAAATTCTTCATTTCCTTGCTTTGTAATACATTTAACCGGTGTTATTTTCAACAAGTAATAAAAAATAAATAGATTTAACTATAGTAATATTATGATTCTGTTTGAGTTTTAACGCTAAAGTAAACTAGAGAAAAGTAAACTGTTAAATTTTGAAATTAGTTTACTTTTTGATGCCATCTACTATTGAAGGAAGAAAACTAGAGTTTGTTGCCAGATTGTGCGGAATTTTGAATTCTAGAATAGATTTTAAATGAAATTAAACGTAATTATACGTATAATTATTAGTAAATATTTCTGATTAATGAAGTAATGAAGTACATTAATGTTTATGGATGAAAGTGGAAGAAGTTTGGAAAATATAACGGTATAAGTATTTGATTTCCCCCTCCAAACACTTACCGATGTCAAAATCATTGGTCATTGCGTTTTCCGCCATGATAAATTGGTGCACGCGCAGTGGAAGTAGTGAAAAGTGAATTATTGTAGGTATGTAGAAAAAAATATCTAATTCGTTTGGTTTGAGCGTATTCTGTAGTTGTCTTATAAATACCTTTGTTCTTTGAGCAGGGATGAGAATGAGAATTCCATTGAGCTGAAGCAATTAGAACGAGGAACTGTATTTCGTATATCTGCGGTCGATCCGAGGTGGGCTGAAGACATTCTAGATACCCTGTGAGTTGCAAATTCTGTGAACGGTAACATGGCAGCGTTACCACGTAGAATTGTAAAAGAAACGCAGCGTTTGATGCAAGAACCAGTGCCTGGAATCAGTGCTGTACCAGACGAGAGCAACGCTCGCTATTTCCATGTTATTGTGACTGGCCCAGAAGATTCCCCTTTTGAGGGAGGCCTGTTCAAGCTCGAACTATTCCTGCCAGAGGACTACCCAATGTCTGCACCAAAAGTACGGTTCATAACTAGGATCTACCATCCGAACATTGACAGACTTGGTCGGATCTGTTTAGACATACTGAAGGATAAATGGAGTCCGGCACTGCAAATCCGTACAGTCCTCTTATCTATTCAAGCACTGCTGAGTGCACCAAACCCAGATGACCCATTGGCCAATGATGTTGCCGAGCTGTGGAAAGTCAATGAATCGGAAGCTATTCGTAATGCAAAGGAATGGACTAGAAAATATGCTATGGATAACTGAGGAACGGTTTTATAACATTATTCTTAGTAGTAGACACTATCTACTACTACTTATTTGAACATTTTTGCATTATAAACAGCTGATTTCAGTGTAACATGATACATTATCTAATATAAAAATTTTATCATTTATTCAACTGTTGCTCTTTAGTGTAGAGATTATTTATAAGATTTAATTTGAATGTATTTTGAGGATAGTCTAAAACCAAGTTCTACCTTAAAAGAAACAGAAGTCCGAAACATTATTTTACACTATGTATCTGTTAAATTAATCATTTTATATTTCAAACACAAACAAAAAGCAGCTAACAACAACAAAAAGGGTTGTTTTTAGTTTGTAAATGTGTCAATTGTAAATGTTAGAACAATCAAAATCTAATTAACTGATGCAATAAGAAAATGCCTATGCTGGAATGGAATATAAAATGATCTAATTTAGGGGAATCTTTCAAATTGTACTGTCTGAAGTGTGATTTATTAGTCGATAAAAACAATATCTTAAGATAATGTACCCTAAAGTAAAAGTTGCACTATTACAAGTTTTTTGACTCTTTTAGACTGCTTTGTGTAATGATTATTACCAGAAAAAAACAACTTATATTATCTCATATTATTCTTTATTATACTGGTCAAAAATAGAGCCAAATTGAAAATAGTGTGTTGTAAATATTGGTAAATATAAGGCTTTTTACAAATAAAATTCTTTACACAAAACAAACAAAATCTTTTCATTGCCTTATTAATGTATGCGACTTACGTGTTCATACGTATCTTTGTTTTTTTTTTATTATTATTATCCAGAGACAATGAGCAATTGTTGCTCAGGACATTGATTAATCTAGATAAACTATCTGGTTCACTATTCAATTTATGACTCGTTGGAAAATACCCATTTGTTTTTTTTTAAATATCCTAGGCTTATATAGTAAAACTTCAGAAACAGTTTCAAAATTAGTGGAATGCTGTATTGTGAATACTTTGTACATAGATACACAGTAAAGTATATGGCATAGAAGTTTGCAAACTTATCATAGGCTTAAGGTAAACAGGAGCGTGATGAAGTAGAAGTTTCCTTGATATGACTTGAAAGGGTGAAAGGGAACAGGAATGTTCAGAGGCAGTTAAACAGTAAAGGTAACAATGTGGTGATACAGTATCGCTTTCAACAAGGTCTCTCCGCTAAATTGGGGAAGGGCGGGTAAAAAGTCCTTAACGTTTTGAAATTTAATACGTCACTAAAATCAATTTTTACATAATTCAGAAACGAAACAACAACAAAAAAAAAGAAGGGAATCCAAAAATTAGTAACCATAAGCAGGAAAAAAAAGAGAAAACTGAATTTGCAGAGAATAAAAGAGTATTCCTCGTCCAATTGCTCCGTCGTAATATTTTCAATTAATTCTTTTTGTTTGTCCAACTTCCATATGTCACCGGTTAAAATTAATATAGCAAAAATATTTATTGTTACACAAAAATTAAATATTATATTTTTTGTTCAATTTTTTTTTGTTATTTTTCCTTTTCTTTTTCACACATACATACAAACATGGATATTTATATATAGGGTGGCCCCGATAATATAGAGACATACACGTCCAAAAACTACCAAGACCGGAACGAATGAAAACCAAGCCTGAAGCAGCTTCCAAATGGATATACTTTTAAGTGTCGTTTATTCATCATCCTTACATATCAAGCTGTCGTGATTTAAGCCTCGTCCATTTGTGAATTAACTCTATCAGAAAACTAATTTAGAATTCGTATAAGCTCTCATTATTACATGTGCGTAGAACGACGTTTGTAATTACAAGGTAAGTTTTACAGAAACAACACAATCATCGAGGTACTTTCTCCGAAATACGGCTGTTCGATATTAAGTGAGACACCCTGTATATACATACATGCATATTATTTTTTTTTATATTTATATATATATAGATATATATTTTTTTTTTACAATTACGTTTATTAAATATTGGGCTGGAGACTTTACATCCGAGGTCTTCCTGTAGGGGGAAACGTTTCTGGGTTTCCGGAAATTAACAACAAATTGCTGACTAGAGATTAGTGTGCTGCTACATTGATTTCGAAGCCAGCTTCTCATGTGGTTCATGTCATGGTTGGATGAATGAGTCATTTCTTATTTTATATGGTTCACACACCCTTAGCTTATCACAATTAAAAAAAACAAATAAACAAAGCGGAATATTCAATAACATTAGTTTTTTTTGTTCTCATTTGTTTCACATATCATATGATATATATGTGTTCATATATATCACATGATTTTATATATGGTACAATACATATATATATATATTTTCGTTATAAACAATATGGAACTAGGAGGATAAGAGATAGAGAGAAAATAGTGGAAACACGTCATTAATCCAACCCCGATTATCCGTGTTTTATCTTTGGTTTACGCTCTTCACTTTCACAACAAATAAATACAATATGCGACAAAGCAGAGATATGATCTATCACGAAAGCGCGGCACGTGTGCAGAGCGCAGGTCTTTGCTTATATTGTCTTCAGTCTGATAATTTGTAACATTTCATCATCATCATCATTGTTATGTTTCCTATATCTCCAAACACGTTTTTGGTATCTTCTTTTTCTTCCCATTTCTTTTTATACGGTACAATAAAAAATATATTTGATCTGCTGCGACTTAAGCATGAGACCAAACTCAATAAAACAATTCCCAATGACAGAGTTTTAATATCAACGTTAGGTAGGCACTTTCAGACCTTCAATTAGTCTATTTAAATGTACACTGGATTCTCCTGCCCAGTCAGAAGGCGGAACATAGAAGTCGGCATCGTCTTCATGAGGATCTGCAAGTAGTGGCATTTAGATATAAACGAATATTCAGTCAACTATTACTACCTCGCCCACTGAAGTCGCCAGTAGGTTGACAATCTTCTCGTGCGGAACGGCGACCACGCTTTGGTTGTTGATCTCGATGATCCTGTGACCCACCCTGACTCCACCCCTCTCCGCAATACCGCCCCTCAGTAAACTACATATCTGAAACAGGATCAAAGGCACATGTGAGATGAACAAATATTTTATTAGCGAGAATACATACCACTCCGTTCTGCACACTAAAACCAAGCTGGTATTTGGTGTCGGGTCTTTTTATCTTGACCTCAACAACCGGAGCGCACGGAACGACTGTTAACTTGACTACAGTCTGGTTTTTGGAATTCTTTATGTAGTTCTGACACGTGGACAACGGAAGCCCGACGAGGCTGACACCATTGATCGCGATTATTTGATCACCTATGTTTAATTGTCCGCACCTTGCCGCCGCGCCTGCTGGTGCTAGATTAGCTATGACCACGGTAGGTAGCATTGAGCCCCAACCAGATTCTACAATGACTACTCCTAGTATTTCACCCTTTGCCTTAGGAACGACAACCTACGAATTAATAATATGTTATAAAATATTGAACTCTGAAACATCAAAGCTTCACCTCTTTCTGCATTTCTTTTTTGGCGAACATTTGCAATTCGTCACCAAAGATTTCTTGCGAATTTAGCACTTCCTGGTAGTCCATCTCTTTTACGAAACTGTGGTCTTCGATGCCATTCGCTTTGAGGAACTCCATGTAGGCGACCTGGAATGCTTGGCCTATGGACTGCGCTATGAATTGCGCTTCCTCGCTTTCGAAAACGTGGCAGATCATCTTCGGAGTTCTGTTGATCTTCGGGGCCTCCTCCATCTCGTGCGGTACGAACCTGCGACGTGCCATCAACACAACCAAATCGCCGATGTCGGCAATATAAGAGATAGTCCTAAGCGCATGGTCCATCATAATTTCCTTCAAATCTGTATTAAGGACCATTATTTTCTCGGTGGAGATGAACAGGTCCACCTCAGTGCTAGGCTGAGTCTCGCCATCCGGTGCCTAGAATAGAGATGACAAAGAGACATGTCAAAGTAAATCGCGAACGACTGCCAAACGCAAGATTGCCACTTACCAAAGCCTGGTCAATAGTCCACAGAAGCAGCGTAAATGGTAAAGAATTTTAGTATTATAATTAGTAACGAACGAAAAAAAAATAAGGTAGAACGAATAAATAAAAGTAAATAAATTAAATTTAAAAAAAAACAAAAGATCAACTATAATTATATATTTGGTTGGTTTGTTTGACTATTAGGGTGATAAGGTCTTATGATATTTGTAAGACAGACCTTAATCTTAGTAACGGCAACCTCGACCATATTTTTCTTGAGACGTTTGCGCCTTTTGCGTCCCGCTTCTTCGTCCACCTCGACAGATCCCAAGAAATGAAGACGGAATACAGTGCCGGTGGCTCCCACGCCCAGGGGCAGGGCGTTAGCGTTGAAAAGACACGCCCCTTCTACAGAATCACTTTTCAAAAACATTGCTCAAAGACATTAATTAATAGAAAGAAATTAATCAAAAGAATGAAACTATAATAAAAATAAAAGATTTGTATGTATAAATAAAATGTATATATGTAATTTAAAAAAAAATATGAAAATAATAAATAGAAATAATAAGTAAATAACAAAGAAGAGTAGCAATGTTGTAAGAAAAGCTCACCCTGCATAGGCTGCGGAGACTTTTCGCTTACAGGTTCGGCATCCAATTCAATGGGCGTTTCGTCATCGAAACTAGAGTCGGGACTGCTGGGGCCGAATTGTGGGCCATTAGTTTGCAACATTTGGTTGGATGCCTCCTGCAATTTGTACCCTTAGCAACAAACACCCCCTGCGCTCTACTCGATTTGTTTTTGTTCATTAAATAAATAAAAAAATAATAAAATATACAGAGATAATAGTCCCTTAAAAAAGAAACAGTTATACAGCTAAGTCCTAGAACATCTAAGAAATGGAAAAGGGAGGAAGAGTGAGAAAGAATAGAGAAAATAAAAGTTTCGAGAAACCAGAAATCATATAGTTTTAATAAGAAAACAAAAAAGTCCAGTGCAAAGTTGTTCTTTAAATATCTCATAAAATATTTTTTCAAATGCATATGTGTATATGTATATACATATATATTATATTTATTTAATACATATATTTTACGTACGCATGTATTCGCAATATAATATATTTCTATATAAGTAGATAGTATGATTAGTTTAATTAATAATTAAAAACATTCAAAGCTAAAGGGGGCAGGGCAATAGTAATAGTCAAAAAAAAAGAAATAAAAGAAAGTAAAACGAGGAAGTGCGTCAAAAAAATAATAATAATAAGTGAGAAATAAATAAAATAAACCCAGGGTTCTTTACAAACATGGAGCAGGCATCCAAACCAATTATAGCACATTAAGCGTGCGCCGTAAAGATAATATATTTGATATGGAATCGAAATATTCGAAGGTGGAGGAAATTGAGAGGGCAGGGGCTGCGGGCACAGAACATCCCTTACAAATATTATCGAACATCGCCAATATAGCAGGTCACCAACTAAATATTAATTATAATTCATCTCGTTTTGAATTCTAGGTTATTTTACTACAGACATGCTATATATTATGTGCTCGTGATAATTATTTATCATTATGTTTTATAATCTTTTCTTTTTTGTTTTCTATCGTACGTTAACATACACAGTCTTAGATTTTGTGCAAATTCTTTCAATGCCAAAAGAATTCACATTCACATTCTAATAAAAATAATAATAAATGATAATAAAGAAACCAAAAGACAATCATAACAATAGGATAGAATAGACGAGTGTGTTCAGTGCAAGAGACAGTGTTAGTAGACAAAAAAATATCACATGCTTTACCTTAATCCTGCTGACGGCTTCCTCGGCCTGCATCATCCTGGTGGTCTTCGTGGGTTGTCCTTCGCATACTAACTGCGTGGAGCCCAAGTAACGAGCTCGAAACAATACGCCTTCGATTAATACTGTAGGATCCAAAAAGCCTGAAAACAGACGGATTCTGTGAAACTCTGCCCTTTACGATACAAACAAATAGTCTTTTATCAACTCACCAACATCCAAAGTTCCAAGTTTGCATGCACGGTAGAAAAGAAAGTAAGAAAAAGGAAAGACGCGGACGGACATAGATAAGAATAATTATTAATGATTAGTCGTAACAATTATACTTAAGTTAATTGAATTATTATATTAATCTAATTAGGTTATTACGCTACAACATTTCAGGTATAACCAACATTGTTATATATTTTAAGTAATGCGCAGCATCGATGATTATAAATCAAAAAATAATAATAGGCATAAAAAGTTACTTATTATTTACAAAAAATTAACTTTGTTGGCTATATCTGATGTACTACATCAATTTATTTTAAGATTTGAATGGATATGGTTTTATTATAAATAAATATCTCACCCTCTTTGTTGCGTCCTTTTTTCTTATTGTCCTTATCCTGTAAAAGAATGACGTTTGGTTAACAAATAATATTCATATGAATTTAGAATTATAAAATAAAAATAAATAAAAAACGTAATAATATTTAGCCAAACAGAGATAAATTATGAGAAAAAAAAACAGTTACAAGTGCAATTAGTGTATTAAAATAATAATTTTTAAAAAAAGAACAAAAATAAATTATGCAGTTTGTAATAAAGACTCGTTCTACAGTGCTAGTGTACTATGAAACAAATGCAAATGTGAATAAATTCGCTCGATTTAACGAGAGGATTATTGTTGTGTGAAAAAAGGAAAAACATTAAAGCACAAGACATAAAACATTTCGCTATTTTGGCATGCCAGGCTAAGCCACACCTTTTTTAGTTTAACCGATGAAATGGATCCTTTCTGGCTTTGGGGCGACTGGCTTTTATCAGACGTTACGTTAGGTGATGAGTGGTTGGAATTTAGGGGATCGGACGACACTAAAGGCACTGCCCCATCGTCTAAGGGCTGGATTTGTTTGGGAGTCTGGGATAGAGAGAGTGGCGGCATTATAGTCCGACTTTTAGGTTTTCTCCAGCCCTATTGATACAACACACAATTAGGGGATCCATGCTTCAAACATGATAAGCCTCCATTGGCACAGTGACATCAAGCCAGTGCTCGGGGTCAGCATACCAATGAAGATCACACATATATGTTCACTAACAACATTCCTATTCCGGTATTTGAAAACATTGAAAGACATACATTCGTGTAACACTTATTTAAAGAAAATAAACAAATTGACAGAGTTCTGCTTGCAGTGCCAGAGATTCGTGTTACCTTATCATCATAGAATCCCTGGTCATCAGTCCTTTGTTGTCCCAGCAAACGATCAGTCTCTAAGTCTGTGTCCGCTTCTTCTAGGAACCAAAGTTCTTTTTGTTAAAATTTCTGAAGTCATTCAGATTTGCTCTGCGTTTCATTACCTTCGTCACCTCCTTCCTCGCCGCTTTGAACCTTACGATCAGAATCTCCGCTCGTCGCCGACAAACCTCTTTGCCTTGGAACCCAAACTGGACTAACCGCATTCTCCTCGCATTCCGCCTCCGGATGACATTTCAATGGCAGCGTTTTGGTCCTTTGAAGAGTAAGCCTTATATCCTTTATGGCGGCTTCGACGTCGCTGGACTCTCCTGTGATGCAACGATGTGGAGCCGGCGCCGGTGGCGGCGGCGTCTTTTCGGAACTGTCCGTCTGCTGATGCTTCAGCTCATCGTAACTGTTCAGACCATTTATCATATCTATTGGCGTTGCAGACAGGCATTCCTTCCCTGGCGAGAGGCCGTTTTCTAATGTCCTATTATTCAATTGCTTATTCTTAATGCCTTGATTGATTTCTCTCTCGATTTCAGTAATCTGCCGTTTCATGAGCATAACCGTCGGATTGTTGTTGTCCGTATCACTGGCATGGCCCGAAGACAGGCCATCCTCCAGGACCGGCATGCTTGAATAAAGTCTTAAAGAATCATTGGGTATTGCTAAATCGCCACTAGAACCTAAGAACTTATAATATTAATAACAAGCGACGAACCAACTGCAACAGTTACCTAATAAACCAGAAGATGGGACTAATTCGTTTTCCATCAACATCAAAGATACCTCACTATCTAAATCGCCGCAATTCGAGTCGCAGTCTGTAGTCTCTGGAGAAAGCGTAAAATTCCTACTGTGTCCTACCTGGAGTCCTACCTCTGTCTCCCCCAGGTCACCACTTGATCCCGTCCCAATGGAGAGGTCCAGGAAGTTATTTTCGTGCTCCGTTATGTCATGCTCCTGTATATCATATATAGTTACATATCAAAGCTGAAATTGAAATTATGCAAACTACCTGGATGCCAATTAAACTCGAGCTGTGCTTCCTGGGAGAATCAACTCTCAAACAGAAGTCTTGAGCTTGATCGGATCTGCCTTTCGCCAGTCTCTGGCCGACGTAGGAATTGCCGGAATTATCGTTTGCCTGTCGTCGCAGTTCATACTCCAGGTCTTGGAACTCTGCTTCCAGCCGGTTCTCCTCTTCCGGTGGCGGACATTTGAAAAACTCCTCAAGGACTTTTCGCGTTTCAGAGAACTCGTACAAATAATCGAATGTCGAAGTGGTTGTCCTAGGCGAACCTGGCTTACTATTTCTCTACAAAAAAAAAACGTCAACTTTGATTTAATATTTCATACATTAGTATACAATATTAAAGCTAGCAATCTCTTCCTTTGAACATTCATCATTATCCTAAATGATTATAAAAATTCATAAATACTTGTAACATTGGCTCATTGTAGTTACGACAATCATTTTTATAAAATGCACGTTCATTTTCCATTATAAAGATACTAAGAAATGCAAATTGCCAAAATATATTTAATTCTGACGTAATAATAAGATATCACTCGAAATTAGTGTGACAATATTTGATATGCAATGTACCAATACGCTAATGACGTTGTTTCTGCCTCCATTAAATTTCCATTAACCAGTATTCGTTCAACAACCTCCCTGTCGCATCTAATATTGAAGCGCAGATTTCCCTATCGATTGTAAAATAAAAAGAATCATGTGACCTCATTTACATTGTAAATGTACTACAATAGCCATGGAAAGGTATGAACTAACGAGTCTATTCAGTATTCGCAGTTGAGTCGATAGAAAATTCATATAGGGAAATCTCGAGTTTAGACTGTAGATGTGAAACAATGTTGCAGATATATGATATACATTACAAAAAAAAATAAACTCTATGAATATCTTAATATTGTATGTATTCAATTGCAGATAATATAGTAAACCACAAAACAAACAAATTTACTTATGTAATAATTGCAGTTTGACCCAGAAATATTAGAAACTAGGCCTTAGTCTAAAATTATTATACAGCTGAGACCCCTATTGAACCAAATCTTAAGAATTCTTTGTATTCTAAAAATAACGTACAAAGTGGGTCCATTGCGATCTTATTGATTTTCGTCGCCGTTCTGTAAAGCTAATGACCAAATGACCTAATATTCTATAAATTACAAAGTAGACGGTTTACGGACAACTAGTACAACTGTAAGTTATATTAATTAGAAATTAATTATTATTGTTGCATTAAATACTATTATTTTTTAAATATAAGTATAATTAAAATTCGAAATATTTTATATTAGATTTTCCCCACATAACTAAACAATAAAATCATTGGTAAATATTAAATAATATTGAAATACCTACACTTTTGAAAGTACTAATAATTTGAGAAACATTGATAAATATTAAATGAATCAAAGTAAACAAGATTGCTAGCTTCAATACTGATAGAATATAGATATTGGATACAATCTACATAGAATGTTCAATTGAATATTATTTTCACTTTGATATTGGATATTTCTAGTTTAAAAAAAGGGTAAAATAGGTTAGCTACAAAAATTTCAATGAAAAAATGCGTTGTTTAATTTTCTAGAATTAATACTACTGCTCTAAATTGATTTTTAACTGTTTGATACACAATTATTAATATTGTTCATTTTAGTTGTAACAATATGTAATACGGTAATCTACGAAGATTTTTTGATACAATGTTCAACGTGGTGCTCTAAATAGACAAGTGTTTTTTAAAAAAAGTATATATTCTGAATTAAGATATTATATGACGGGTGCACTACATTGAATTGTGTAACTAATTAATATGTGAATATTTTTTTGGATATTAATAGCAATAATAAAGTTATTTTAAAGAATTTCCAAAAGAAAGGTGCGTCTATAAACTTGCGTAACTTGTTGATATACGAATAACTTTGATGTTAGTTACGTTAAATAGAAGTAACGTAGATATTTATTAATTTGTTTCAATCTCATAAATTGATAAAATGATTTGTGATCACCTTCAAATTGAACAAAATATAGTATAAGCATCTTCTATTCCTGATAATCGCTCATCTGGGTACTTTCATCTCGCATTTTGTTTCTATGTAAATAATTTATGTGTATGTTAACTTACATTATAGTTATCAGCAATAGAAGAGGGGGCATCAGTTTCGCTAGGGGAACAAACGACCCTTTGTGGAAAACCGGGCCTAGGTGGATAGACACTAGGGGAAGCAAGCAAACTCTGCGCGCTAGGTAATTGTGGATGCGTGCAGTTCGATTCCTGCTGCCGAGGGCCGTATCGGCGCGGGGACCCTTCGTATACCGCGATTGGTAGGTTTCCAATCACCTTAGTCACCCTCTCGGATTCCATTTCGGCGGCAGTGTGGTTGTATGGCGACGGGGACGTCGACTCGGAGCGGTTCTCCTCCTCCATCCTCTTGCACTCCTCCTGCCAGCTGTCGCCAATGTCGTCGAAAACGACCACCTCGCCGGTCGCCGACACTCTCACTGGACTCTTCCTGGTCTCATGGCACCCCTCGGGGCTGCCGCGCACGGCCGCCGGTGGCTGCTGCTGTTGCTGCTGCAGCTCGGCCTGCTGGTCCTGGGGATGTGTTACCGAGCACACCTCCGAAGAGAACACCGTCTCCGTGAACTCCCGCGAGTTACGGTACTTCTTCGACTCGTTACATCGCCGCAGTTCCCACACGCCTTGTCTTGAAGGCGACTTCTGGCCCTTCTTTTTGTCCAAATCGTCGGCTCCCAGGTTCCGTGATTTTCTTGCAGCCTTGCTGCGACTTTGCGAGTATATCTCGCGTCCGCCTGCTATCTCTATTATCCTAAAAAATGAACCACATTGAAACTATGCCGTCAGTGACACGAAATGATCGTGAGAAATTGTGTACAACTTTGTATTGTGTTACTCATCATACTTAACGCCAGGACGCACTGAATCCCGCTCGGGACGATGTGTCATGATGTTAAATTGGGGGTCAAATTAACGCGACGTTACCTCGACCAAAGTTAGACACAATTTGTATTCTAGATACATTGATTACTGGTTTGTGCAAATAGAGAAAAGGGTGCTTCAATTCATATATTTTGGTCAAAGATAACATGCATTCTTTTTAGAGGTATTAATAATTCAACGAAACATCGAAACAAAACAAACAAAAATACCTATATGCCTATTAATTTTATACATAGGTAATGAAGAGATAAGAGATATAGGAGGAAAGGGATAAAGTTAAGAGAGGTCCCCAAACCGTTTGCAATCAAATCTAATATTCTGAATATGAAGCATTCCTTCGTGAGGAAACTACTGTAAAGTTCCGCTAATAATTTTATTTGATTATTGTAAATTAATGGGAGCATATGCAGTGTGAATGGAAAGTGTAAACGAGCTTGGGGACCACTGTGTTCGAGATATAGAAGAGAGAAATAGATAGAGAGAGAAAGAGAGAGAGATAGATAGAGATAAAGAATGTAATGAGCATTTTGTACCTAGAGTCACGTAACTTGTACGTTCCTCCAATATGCTCGTGGTCGATAATGTCATCATCATCAATGGGTGAATGCACTTGGCTGCTGTTATCTCTATTGTCAGTATAGGAACCATCCATGACCCATCTATTAAATTAATAACACCCTTTAACCTTAGAGTAACACAAGTAGTTGCTGGTGAAATAAATGCAAACAGTACCTATCATTGTCCCTGTCGATATTCATGATATTATTTGAATTGTCTGTAGTGTTGTGCTCATGTTCACGGCCAGAGGATGAGATTATGGGATTTAGATTAATGTCACTACGTGGACGACACTTCGGGAATAGCTTGCTAATCTGTTCAGTGTTCTCTGTAACATCATTATCTAATGCCAGCGTCAAACTAGTCATTGCGGTCGCAATTACAATATTCGTCGCAAAGACATTTCAATCTACAAAAAGAACAGAAACCAAATAAAAACCCAACCATTTTGATTCTCTCTTTCGGTTGATTGCTGCACAAAAGAGAGAGAGTGGTAGAAGCATGCACAAACGAAATCACAGGAGACACCCCCGTCCGCGCGACCGTCTCTGAATCATCGGCCATACACTGTACAAATCACTCACCGCTTTACGTTCCATCAGATGCAGCGTTTTTTTTTTCTGTTATTTATTTTTTAAATATGACTCGCGGCCACTTGTGAATCAGAAGCGACTTACAAACGTTGAGTCCGCAGATCCGACATGTCTGGGTCGCGGATCCTGAGTTGCGGACCGGAAGTGGTCATCAGATGTACGAATTCGGGAATCGGTTTCGCGCACGCACCGGGGGGAGAACTCACGTACGCAACACCGAATGTGGGGGTGTTGATGGTGGCGATGGTGATGTGCAGAGGGGGTGGCGGCTCCCGCTGTCGCGCGTAAAATCAATATCCACTAATCCCGTCCATATTTCGCGTTCGCAGCCAGCTTTTCGAGGGTGGCGATTGCGGGGTCCCTGAAGGGTGACCAAAGGAGTATCGGAGCGGATCGCACGAAGTATCGCCGACTGGTGGAGGGTTTTGGTAGGCGTTTTACGCGGATTTTGAAACGGACGTCGCGACGCCTCGCGCAGCACCCGCTCGAACTGGCGGCGACGCACGGAACTAGACAGACGATAAAATTATTGAACGTCCCCCCAATATTATGACATTCGTGTGAAGTTACCCTGAACTACCACCGATTTAGGGAAAAAAATGAAATAAGAAAGGAATGAAATCAAAAGTAAACTGTAGCGATTTAAACATCAAGTAGATCACAGCAAGGCAGGGCAAACGAACAACATCAACAATTAAATAAAAATAAATAACGTACAGCATACCATAAATCAGGAAACATTTAACAAACTATCACATCAATAGCGCAGGCATAAATCACGACCCGCTCTGATCACGAATCGATCATTCCGAATGCGTTCAGCGCTCGGAACAAACGTTTCACTTTTCTTTTTCTTTTTTTCTTCTTCCTCTTTTCAAATAAGGATGTAAATTACATGCCAATCAGGTCCTCGTCGAAACAATTACACAGATACACCGCTTGCGGCTTCCGAATTGAGGGGGGGCGGGAGTTCTAAACAGATCCACAGCAGGATTCGGGCAAATGCAGACTTACCTCGCCTCCAGCTCGAGCTCCGACTTATTATTCATAGATAGAACGTAAATACAAACATTGCCATCGAAGCCCCTCGGTACTCTTTTCTCGCTCAAAACGACAAACCACTGACAAGCGCTGTCAAACGGTGGGGAACTGCCGGCGCCGCCAACCCAACCACGTTGAATGTCACTGTACAAGATTGCCGATCGTCGGAACAGTTGGGCTAACTTAGGCCGTTGGGAGAATTGGGGAGAATAGTATCGATCGTTTTTGGTATGCTATGCTATGATGAGCTTTGCAGAGCCGTCGTGCTGGGTCTGACGCGTCTTAGACGGTGACGGACGGTACCCGCGCCATCCTAGGATCGATCTCTTTTAAATTCGTTGGATTCATTCGAATTTCTTTTTCATTTTATTTATAATCTTATATGAAAAATACTTTATATAAAATGCCAAAATACCATCAAACAAATATTATATAATACTTTGTCTCGTTTCTGTAAACCTTTCAACATGTTTATAATAGATGCATTCTCATATAAAATATCTTGTCTCCTAATGTTAACGCTTAGATAATTCATTTAACGTATGTTCTATAATAAGTACATTAATATTTATCCTGACCTAACCGAACTAACTTACATACTTTCGTACTGTAACTAGGAGTAATCACATTATGTATTTGCTGCTGTTCGATTCAGATTGAGGTGTAATTATAAAACTGAATTTACTGAATTTAAATATCTATGGTAATTACTACTATGCTGAAGTACGTTCGTATTAACGTACTTGACGCCTATGCGAATGTCTTCTCTTAAGACAAAAAGCACGTGGAACGTCGAATACGTTTGAGTAAATGAATAAACATAGGTATATGTGATTGATTGTTCAATTAACATGCATTCGTTAGCATACGACAATTTGTGTACGTATCAACAGGAATAGCAAATATATTTTGAAGTACGACACTACCTCTAAATTGTAATTAATGTTTACTTCCGAGAATTCAATTTACTTCTCTAATTGATAGTAAATAAACAGAGATCTAAATTATATATGTACACTTAGATTTTGGCTTTGATCCCTAAAGTTCTGCACTTGGGAATTGTAGAGTGATCTTCCTTTGATACTAATTCACAGTAAATTACAATTCAATTTACATATTGAAACTATGACCATCGTGATTTTCAATTCACGTCTCGTCTCAGTCATATGTATATGTTTTATGTATACACATACAAAATTAATATTTTTAATTAACTTATACAAATATTAATAAAACTTTATCAGGAAATAACTGTAAAATATTATCTATTATTTATGATCCAATAATATATTGGATATGTTAATATTATACAAATAATAGTAATTAAACTAAATTATATAAAATAACAATAATTTATAATATGAAGTACTGTATGTATTTTAAAATGTTTTAAATGAAATGTCTATAAAATATGAAAATAAACTGTTCCCACAAAAGTATACTTTCATTGCTCTACTTTGCATTAAGAAAGTTATGATAAGAGAAAGTTCATACCTTGTAACAGATTATATTAATTAGACTAGACATTAGCATAGAAAATAAGTAAAATATAAATGTAATAAAAATGCACTTAATTAATATTTCAAGGAAAATTACATTTTTTTTTGTCCGGTTTCAAACAGTACGGGATATTTACGAAACCGATTATCCGCACTCCGAATTTATTAATATAGTAATATTTCCAGGAAAGGGACCATCTCAATTTTTTGGAGTATATGATTTCGTTAAGAGGGTTGTAAAGAGGGTTATTTGGATGACGCATTTTGGCAAGGAGGGGACATAGAGGGCTGAACGTTCGGACACAGAGAAGCTTTTCAGAACATATATTTTTTTTATAGTTTTCCTGAATTTTTTGGTATAATAAATGTTTAATATAAATATTATAAATTGGGCGGAAAGGCAACAATCCTTATTAACAATTAATTATTTTTTCTTTTATGATTTTACAAATACATTTTATTTTTAATTTGGTGATGTTTGACACTATATAATAAAATTATAATTAATAATGGAATTTTTTAAAATAACAAAATTTCAAAAAATATATTTGTTCTGTAAATATTAATTTTATTGTATAATTAGGTGTTAGTAATCAATGATCATATAATCGATGTATTTATTAAATATCTATATGTATGAATATTTAATAATTGTTATGTCACAGAAAATCAAAAGAAAACAAATCAAATCAAGTTTTTCTTACCTTACAATTATTGTCACATTTCTTAGAAGAAAATGTAATTTAATTTCATTTGATATTGTATTACAATGTGCTTTCAGTTTATAATCATGTGATGAGTGTGCGCTCGTATTCGCTTCATATTTTCAAAGAAGAGGTATTTCATTAGTTTACACTAGCACATGCTATTATCGAATGTTTCACACATAAAAAATGAAATATAATCGATAGCAGTAAAACGTAATTTAGTAATTAATATTTTACATTGCAAATCCATACAATAGTTAGTGTAGTCAAAAAGAACAAAAAAATAAAAATTTCCACAAAGTTCAGGCTAAATTATAGATTTTATGCATAGTGCAGTTCATAATGACCTTTGCAATTCAGAATACACGAATAAATGTTTTTTTTTGCACTGTCCTTACAAAGTAAAATTTTGTTTCAATATTTTGAATTTTTTTATGTATTATCAATGTATTATGTATTTATATTAATAAGAGTATCCCAGAACGATGGATAAACTGAATCATAACGTCAGGGCCGTGTGGTAGATTCTCTCAGTATTATGCAAGTCTTCGAAATGAATATCACTAAAATGTGCTTTTTCAAGAGTTAATTTTCAATTTTGAACGCGTATTATATCCGAATGGATGAAACTATAACAATGCATAGATCTTCTCTACATTCTCTAAACATTGAGCTTTGGTATATTTTGGATGCATCCACTTTATTATAGTTTCCGAGAAAATCACTAAAATATGAAAACACTGCTTTTTCAGGCGTTAATTTTTAAACTTTGAACGTGTATTTAAATATACACAAATAAATAAATAAAACGTATTTATATAATCATAACAAAATAAAAATAATAGTTAAGTGCTGATATTGATTGACTTATTAAGTATCTCATTAAAATAATGTTAATTATTTGTATATTTTGAATACTATTTACATTTATCTCAATTATATTATTTGTTCCATTTAACGATCCGCAAATATGAGATAACTTAGCTATTATTATACTGACTTGGTCTCTTTGCTTGCCAAATTTGTTGGAATTTATGATAGAACGTAACTGTTTTCGATTTGGCAGACCTAAGTAGTGATAATATTTTCTGGTCGTTTGTTTCTGAATGTATTTATTTGAACTTGTTCTATTATGTATACAATGTGATAATTGAAGTCAAAAATTCAATTTTTTCAATTGAATTTATGTAGGAGTAAATATACCATTAATTATTATGTAAACTTTATTTGAAAAGGCAGGATTTCCTATAATTTAATGGCAATTTTCAAACTTATATTAACTCATTCTTTTCATTACAAGATCTAATTGATTATATTAATTAATTTTTTTTAATAACTTTTCTATACTTTTAGATTGAAAAACAAACAAAATGATCAATTTTATACAATTTTGTAACACATTTATTTAAAAGATCATTTAGTCTTATAAATAGAAATACAAAGGCTCTACCATTTGTGTCCTAGTCTTCAGTACTTTGAACCTATTATTTATCTTATCTTTGTTTATCAGATCCGCAAACGACAAATTCAATAGTTGTTATATTTGTAGATGATAGCAGTAATAGTATATCTTTGTTATTTAAATATGCTATAACAAAGCTTTAACCAACTTGAATTTTAAGTTACAAATAGAGAAACATAGTTAAATACACACTAATTAATATTACACTATATAAAGAAGTTACAGGTCAATAGTATAATCATACAATGAAAAAGAAATTTTAATTTTCATACTTTATTTAAACTTAAAATTATAAAATCACAGAACAATAAATACAATGTAAGCAATTAAGCATTAGGAATGTGAAGATTTCATAATGGATTCCACACGATTGGCAGTTTCTCTAACTACATCAGATAGCTCTGTCAGTTCAGGTAAATCAAGTGTGATGTGCGCTGAAAGCCTCTTGTATACAGAGTTTGTATCAGGCTTTTTTTTTCTGGACTCCTCATATTTCAGCTGCTGCTTCAAGAATATTGCATTCTTCAAATTGTCTTGTATACTTTTAAAGCTGTCCTCAGCCTTATCCACAGATTTAATGGCACTTCAATAAGCACATCAGTTGAATGCAAGATGTACAAGTCTTTACTCACCTGACTGCATATTCTATATCATAGCATCTGCCTTGCAGCTCTTGGTGTAGCTTGTTAACATCAACTCTCCGATCAACCATTGGGTTTAAGGCTTTCCTCACATGCTCTTGGAGTCTGTAGAAAGCCAGAGATGGCTCATTGGCTACTATATGCATATTTTCTGATATACGTTCCGTAGCTGAAAAATATTGTATTATTATTTTGCACTATATTGTTCTGTTAAGTAAATACATTTCTTAACTTTATTTTCTAAATCGAGGTCTGTATTGTACGACATTTTCCTCATATGTAGTTCTTGTCAAAATTGCATTAAACGGTCAATGGTAATCATAGGTAACAGCAACAATTGTTCATTAAATATACCAAAGCAACTATCAATAAAGAAATACTGTCAAGCAAGTTGTCAAATTGTGATTGTGGCGTTCCAAGTTGGAGAAAGCTGAAGTTCTTGGTACTTGTTTCTACCGTAAAAACTGGAGGTGGCGCATTGAAACGTGGCCGCAGTCGTGGCTTGTATCTGAACAAATTTTAGTCAACGTTGGCGGTTTAGCGTTGATGTGTAGTTCAGTTTTGTGTTAGCCGTCTTGAAAGAAAGAAATATTCAAGTAAGTCTTCAATTAAAATCGCATCTGTTACCGAATCAAACTAACTTTTCATTAATCATTTATAGAATGATGAACAGGATTCTATTGTGCGTTGTCGTAACCCTCCTGGGGGTTGCTCACTGCAATGAAGAAGAGACTGGTCCTAGGCTATTAGTGTCCAAACAAGTCATGAACAAATATTTAGTGGAGAATATGGATATTGTAGTCAAATATACTATTTACAATATCGGTAATTCCGCGGCTATTGGAGTACAGCTGCTTGACCAGGGATTCCATCCAGGTGCATTTGATGTAGTCGGAGGAAAGCTTGAAGCTAAGATTGACAGGATTCCTCCACAAACCAATGTTACACATGTTGTTGTTGTGAGACCAACAAAGTATGGTTACTTCAACTTTACTGGTGCCTTAGTCCAATACAAGATGACTGAAGATGCCCCCAATGTAAGACATATGCTTGTGCGAAAAATTAACACTATTCATTCATTCACACCTTTTTCTTCATTCACAGATGCAAATTTCATTGAGCTCTGAGCCTGGCGAGGGAACCATCGTTGCCTTCCGTGATTACGACAAGAAATTTTCGTCCCATGTGTTCGATTGGTTGGCGTTCGCTATTATGACTCTGCCATCTCTGGCCATCCCATTCTTCCTGTGGTTCAGCAGCAAGTCCAAATACGAGAAGCTGTCGAAGCCAACAAAGAAGAACAACATGTTCTGGGCACCAATGAAATAATTTGCGTTTGAGCAAGTTAGGTGTAGCTGTCAAAAGTCATCCACTTAAAATAATAACAACAATCATTAATTGTTAATTAATATATATTTTTTTTTTAATAATTTATTTTCTACCATCATTTTTAAACAGTCCCTATTTTGTACAATTGTTGTGATTTTTTTTTTGTTTTCACAAAGCAATAAATATGTCTTTAAAAGCTATTTCTTTTGTTTTATTACAATCAATTTTCTCAACTTGTTTGATATTTAAAGTAGATATCTAGTTTTCTGATCTACCTAAGTCATTTACAAATATAATAAGGTAAATCTGAGGTGCATGATTAGATCCTAATATAATTCATTGGAAAACTTAACACATAAATGAAAAATATACCATATTTATAGGACCATAAAACTTTTGTATAATATAAATTATCTCTGGTTTTTGGTTGGTTATGCTAACTTACCATAATTTTATTATCCTCTTCTGGTGGAGTATCAAGCCATGATACTAATACATATAATACTGTGGAACCTTGGGAGTAAATTGAGCATTTTTTTTTAAATTGATACACAAGCGAAATCTTCGTGCTCGCTTTGATTACAAGGAAAGAATTATGCTCGCAAACCTAGGTTCCACTATATTATTATTATCATGGTATAAAGTAATAATATAATTATAGATTGAGTATAGGTAAATAAAAAACAACGAGATGTGGGATGAATAACTTTTTAAATAAAATATAGTAAAATATGACAGTATAAATGTTATTCTATTTTAAGTAGTTACATATATGAGAAATGAAGTGTGAGCTAAAGATTAAGTTTTTTTTTTGTTTGCTTTTTCGTTTTACAGTACAAAGTGCTTACAATCTGACTTTCTCAAATCGCAAAAAAAAAATGATATAATAATTATAATCGACCTAAACATAATAAAATAACTAAACAATGTTTTAATATTAACTATAGTTACGAGATCAATTGTTCTATTAATAAAATATAACACCATTATTATTATTATTTTTTTCAGTTACAAATTTGCTGTACAGTCCTAGGTGGAGAGATGCATAAAAAATAAAAACAACTACACAGGGTGATGTGTAAATAGAGATTTCGAAAAATAAAGTAAATTACCATTTGATTACCATAAGAATTGCCGAATTGCCAATGTAACAACAAATAATTAGTATTGGATTTAGTTGCCGTGCATCGCGTGCAATATTTAAACTCAGAATAAAAGTTCCGAACGGGGAAAAACTGAGCTTAGTGCTCGGTGCGATACAGTTGTAAAAAAATATATGAAGAAGTTACTCGAATATGAAGTACACAAAATTTGACGCTTTCCAGTTGAATATCATGCTTTATGTTTGTCTTGCGTTGCCTACAGATTTAAGATGTGCTTAATGATACTCGGAATCTGAACTAAAAATATTAAACAAAAACAAGCAATAAAAATCACAAATGAAGTTAATTACTTATGTATATAAATTAATAACACAGATGATTAAAAGCAAATAAATCCTTTCCGACGTTATTCAATTATATATCTATATATATATATATACTAATATATATATAAAATATATACATTATATAATTCTTTTTGCTAATACTGCGTCCAATCGTGGCAGAAAAATTATATTTTGTATGCGAAGACCTAAGTTTATCTAGCACTATAAAATGATGTGAACACCCTATACTACTAAATACTAAATAATAATGAGAAAACGTTTCAATCAGCTTCATATATAAAATAATTAACAATTGTAACAACATATTATATTTATATGTTCTGCATATATATATATACTTTTTTTTCGTAACACATCTTAGTTGTTGATCATGATTTCCAAGAATTTCTCTAATTGTACTTTGCCTTTTTTACATAATTTTTAATAGTTATATAAATATTTGACACATTATGTTGTTTTTTAATTTTTTTTTTAAATGTCTACATTGAATAACAAAACTATTAATTTATAATAAAACTATTTATAACGTTTTCAATGTATATCTGAAATCATATATATACATATATAAATTTATGTGTATGTATGTATATATATATAATCTATATAATTGCTAGTCAAAAATATACGCTTATGAAACAAAAAAACTTGATTGCAATATGTTCCTTTTTTTTTCTTATATAATATTCTTAAAATTAAAATTGCAACAATTATCTATAACTCTATATATAAATATATATTGGGATCGAATAACTTTAATTAATATATAAAATTGATATACTATGTATATGTACACATGCTATAAAATAAAATGTCTTTATATATATACGTACATATATATATATACATTTATATGTGTATATGTATATACTAAAATGGAGCAACAATAATTTAATTGAAAGAAATTAATAAAATAACAGTTTTCATCCAGTTTGTAGCAAAACGGTGATGAGAAAGGAAGACCATACTTGTATTGCACTTAAATGGCTAACTATTTGATGAGACGTGTATATTATGGTCAGCTGGCGTTAAAGGACTGTTAATACTTTTCGCACTGTGCGAATTCTGGGCCATTAGCCTCTGCCTTACCTCTCGTATCTTCAGCTGAAGACTCGATTTGTTCGGAAACACATCCGAGTGCTGCGCCTGGAAAGCCGTTGTCGCTTGCTGCGACGGGAACAGCGTATGAAGTTCAAAGAGCTTTAACACAAGAATCCTCTTTTTCTCGAGTATCTTTCGGTGTCCTTTGTCGGAATCCCGGGAGGTACCGGGAGTCTTCGGTGTTCTAGGAGAACTGGCTTCACCCATACTATCTACATCTGCACCAAAAAAATGATATATTTATTAATTACAAAACAATTAAAAGCTGTGTATTCAATACCTTCTATATTAAATTCTGGTCCAAAGAAAAATGTACCAGCTACATTTTTAGAAGCCGATGTTACTTTGGCACTGCTGGACAACGGAGTTTCGGGTTCGGGATCTTCGTCGATGGATGTTCGGTGGGCCGAATTCATAGGTCTCTTCTTGTAATTAGCAAAAACTCGAGGACTCGGTGCTACCACGATGGCACTGGGAGATTGGCATTCATCCGGTTTGAATTGAGGCAACGATGAAAACTTCTGGCTGAAGTTTACTTGTTCCAAAACGCGATCCATTCCATCCTCCTTGGTTTTTTTGAACATATTCTTTTTCGTCAACGGTGATACAAGACCGTCTATAGATGTTATACTTTGTTGTTGTTGTTCTTCGATGCTGCATATAGCTATACCGTTATTGTTGTTGTTGATGGTGGTGTTATGGTTATTCTGAGATATATTGGTCGACACCGCTAAAAAACATGTATAAGAATGGATCTGACGCTATTATTTATTACTTTGTGCTTACCTTTTGTTTGCCTTCTTTGTAAGGGGGCTCTGCCCAACTGAGCCGGTGTTGGCGCCAATTTAAACTCCTTATCCATTTCGGGTACATTAATTTCTGAAATTCGCGGTGATGGAGGCACTTCATTTGGCGATAAGCCATCGGGTGATTTTAGTTCACTCTCCGTTTTAACTATAAAAGAAAATATAAATATATTACCTATCATTTAAGTAATTATAATATGATTACCTTGATTATAGGAGAATGCACTTCCAGTTGAATGGATATTTGGAGTTGAAGTAACTACAGATTCATGCTGTTGATTAGTATTGCTATTATTATGTCTATTCTGAGCTTGACTGACAATGACTGACTGTGCAGCAGACTTCGGTACAATTTGCACAGGTTGTAGAGTGACCCTACCATTTGAGTCGGGTTGAAATGAGTTCTGCATATACACATACTTTAGGTCAGAAGAAGTAGATGCAACGACTACGACATTGCTTCGATCGGCATCACCGGTCAAGCAGTATGTGTTTTGCACGCCCATATTGGGATTCAAAAACGTTAGTCTCATTGGAGGTTGAGCTGTATACTGCTCACTCGACGGTTGGTTGAAGTTGTTTCTTGTAATCGGCGAGATGGGTGGGATAGAATTAGAAATTTTGTTGTTAATATTCAAGGATTTCACAACTGATTGTGTCGAGGTCCACATGGGTTCAGATTTCGGTACACTCGAAGATGGGATCGGGTCCGATTTGTTATTAATTATAAACGAACCTCCTGTCCAGTTATTAGAATGATTCTCGTTTAACTCTGTTTTAATTTCCGACTTAATTGATTTGGGAGAAGCAAACGCGCCGCCTACAAATAAACGCTCAATGAATAACAATATATCATTAAATATAAGGAGTATATATTACCTGTAGGTTGAAATCCTGTGACTCCCGTTGGATTGACAGGAGATTGATATTGAAAAAGTACTGTTGATGTAGGCACGGGGCTATACTTTGGAGTAATCTCTGTTGACGGAATTCGTGCTTTGATTGGCTTTGGCCGGCATGTAATTTCAGAAGGGTTGTTGCTAAGCACTGGACTAAATCTTTTCTGTGGAAATACCCTGTTCTCCACCACAACCTCGTGATCACTGTGAGACTCTGAATCGGAATCAGTCACTTTTTCTTTGCACTTTAAGTCAATTTCCGGCGTTGGCTCCTCGCAAATAACCATCTGATCGTCATCCGAGATTTCGCCATTATCTTGTTCTTGCACAATAATTCGTTGCTCAGAGCTAATCATTTGCGGTGATTGCGTCCTCGGGCTCATTGGCATCTCGGTGGGTTCACCACTATCGCCGGTCGAGCTGAGTTTGCTCCTACCGGATCCTGTCGAGGACTTTCTTCGATCCTTGCTACACCATTTCCATTCAGGATGGGCCTTGAAGTGAGCTTCTTTCACTTCCAAGGCCAACTCGTGGTACTGCTTTTTCTCGTCAGGCCCCAGTGCGTACCACCATTCGCCCAATATTTTTGAAACCGTCCTGTTGTCTTGATTCGGATGTCGCTCGTGCACTACAGCCCTATGACGTTTAGAAAAGATCATAAACGCATTCATGGGTCGTCTGATACGTTCTCTACCTTTCGCGCCTGGCTCTTTGGTATTCTGCAAGGAGCTAAGCGACTGGCTTCGTCGTTTATTTCCATTCGAGTTTGCACTTTCGTTAGGTGTGTCTGGTGGTTCTGTTTCGAACACGTCATCATCATCTTCATTTGGCAGCGGTATCTGCTCTGGGTCGACCTCATCTTCGACAAGTTCTGACACAGGTGCGGGCAGCTGTACAGGTATAGGTGGCGCTGACAGAGGTGGCGACAGCTCAGATGGCGGTGGCGAAACATTAGATTGATTTGTCGTTAATAGAGGCAGCAGTGAATGCCATGGTATCATAAACGCTGATTGCGATTGCTGAGGGGTAACCGGTGTCAACTGTGCACTTGAATTTTGCATGATCGGTGTCTGCACCGATTGTATGATGCTCGATTTCTCGTGGTTATGATTATGGTGATTATGATTATTAACAATCATATTATTCTGACTAATTATGCTTGAGTTTGATGCAACTACAACAAAAAGATAATTGGTTATATGCATTTACTACACAATTTAAGACACATACTATGTTCAGACTTGATGATTATACTGGATGAACTAGGCACAACCGTCGTCGTCTGCGGCAAAGACGATGTTCGCTTAACAACAGATTGCGTCGGCTGACTTGCAGCTGGTAGTACAGGCACTAATTGGGTCGGATGTACTATGACTGGTAATATGGCACCTCCTGAATTCATACTTCCAACGCTCCGCATTGGCTGACTCGTCGATACTCCGATTGAAGACCTCTGAATATGATCGTTCTGAATAATCTACAAAAGGTGGTAAATAACTCATTCTGAAAGTCTCTGATTATTAGTTAATAGTAGTTACCTGTCTTTGGAATGATGACTGTGGTGACTGCGTTTCTTTCATATTTTCATTGGACATCTCGTTCTTTATCACCATGAGATTATTCTCTTGCACCGGCGGTAGAACACAGTAAACTGTACCTTTAATAGTATAATATATTAGATTAGTTTGAAAAACCTAGCAGTTTCGTAAATCTAAGTACCATCAGGTTCTGGAGTGCTTTGAGAAGCTGGACTGGTCAAGGCATTTTGTAAGATGACACTTTGCTCGGAGACGGCAGGAGACCACGGACTTGGATTAGGAGATATTCTTATTACACTATTGTTCGCTTGAACTGGCCGAACCAACTCGGGTCTACAAAAATATACGAAAGTCATATAACTGCGGCCGTAGTATAGGATGGGGTGTACCTTATAACGGGTTGATGATGGTAAGACGCGGGTATGTTGTAGCCGGGCGAGGTTCTTTTCATAATGCCATGGTGGCTGGTGATTGGCATGAATACGTTCTGCTTAGAGCCGACAGTCAACGGTGATTGCATAGTCAACGGTGACGAGCCTTGCCCATTTGGCGAGAACGCGGGGGTGGCGGATCGTGAACTCCCCAGCGAAACTAAACACAAACAATTATTACAAAGCTGATCTTTAACTATGACAATCAGACTCATCCAAACCAATGTTGCAATATAGTTCATGGCTCCGCTCTAAAATTCTTTGGAAAACATCAATGTCCATTCTAACTGAATTTCAAACTCAACTAAACTAAGTACCTATCCGCGCCAGTAAGCTTAACCCAGAAAAACAATTATAGAAAAACTGATAAGGCACCTTATATTTATCAACAATTTGAATACACACACATATATGTATGTAATTTTTTCGTTTTCCTTTGAAAGTTAAATAATGAAATGAGCCCACACCTCGATGTTGACTACTACTCACCGAGCATGTTGGCAGCTTCGGTTTCGTCTTGATCGAATCGCCCGGCAATTCGCCGCTCGTTGCAATTAGGGGATGTTTCCGAGTCCCTGCTAGTCTCTTCGCCGTCATTCTTACTGTTGGATCTGGGAAACTGGGTGCTTCCCCTCATATTTAGGCTGCGATGCCTAGAGCAGAAGCCCCTGCGCTGGGACTCTCTGGTGCAGATACCACCACCGAAGGAGCACAGCCTGCGCCACTGCTTACCATTAAACTTCTTGCGGATGCCATTTGGATTTTCTACGATATCTCCCTTCTTGTATTTGTGAGGAGTAGCAGCCTGACTGCGCGGCGTCGTTGGTTGCGAACGTGGTGTTATACTACTGCTCGAACTACCCCTGCTTTGAATGCTGCTGCTTCTTTTACTGCTCCCAGACAATTTGGTGTCGATCTCCAAAGGGAAGTTGATATCCTCCCTGCGTAGCTCGTCGTCGCTCTCTCCATAATCATCGTAGTGTCGACCATTTGATAAGGGTGTGCAGACGGATACCGGCGTGGTTGCAGCATTTCTACTATAATCATTCGGTTGATTGATCAAGGACAAATTCTCGGACGTCAGCGGTGTGAACGTTTCTAATTCATCCCACCAAGGTTGTCTGAGTAGCCTAAGATCAGCCCTCTTCGCCGTCAGCTCATCCCTGTCCCGAACGACAGCCACCCTAAACCGTATCGGACTGCCCTCGATGATTTCGCAGACGACACCCTCGATGAAACCTTGGTTATGTCGCACGCACACCCTTGTCCCCAGTCTCAACTCGTGGATGGAAGGGCTCGCGTCACCTATCACATCGTAGCATTCTATCTGCAGAACGTTTTTGAACTGGATAATTGTCGATTGTGAACTATCCAATTCTACAGAAATCTGAAAATTATAACATATATAAAGATTCAAAATATTCATGAAAACTATTCAATACATAACTACAGTACCAAAGTTGATTTCATTTAATAAAAAAAGATAATATCACTACTTTCAGTTCATAGTATTTAAACTTATTCAATCTTGTATAACACTCTTTTTCTGACAATGAATACAAATTATGTGTATTTTACTTTAAATATGTTCCTACACACATACAAAGTACTTTAACTAATAACTATTATACATATTCATATTTTTTTAAATCATTGATTGAAATTATATATGAAGCAAAATTTAAAAAATAATAAAATATGTAGATAAAGAAATGGACCAAATTGCAAGAATTTGTAAATAAAAATATTTTGTATAAATTAATAAGTCAACTTCATAAATTGAAAGGATATTCTTATTTCTAGAAACTATTTTTTGTCTGGTTCAAATATAATATTATGTGAGACATTCAACGAACTGTTGATTAGTAAGTACTATTTGGCAACGATCTACGATATATAAATAGTTTTAAAGGTATTATTGTTCATTTGAATAAATTACTTTTTGAACATTTCTTTGCATTTGGCACCTTTACCAAGCTACAGTATATTATCCATATTCAATATTCGCTTTAAAATTAATAACTTTGATATAAAAAAAATAAATATAAAATACAAAATTTATCGTGACGTATACATTTGTTCTGTAATAGTAATTTACAACACTACTCTACAAGCAACATATAAAAAGCAGTTAATAAGCAGGTGACTCCTCAATTTTGTAAAAATTCACAAAAAAAAACATACATAATTAGGTATAATTAGGTGCAATCGAAACTATAATTGTTTTGATAAAATAACGCGTAATTTGTTTCGTCAGTGTTATAATTTTTCAAATCTGGAACTATACATATAGTAGAGAAGGGTAAACTTTTTGGAGCAAAGACAGTTTTATGTTAAAAGAGTATTGGGAGCCGCACGTACCATTACAATTGCTAGTGAAATACATTTTCCATTTTGAGATCCGCAAATTCTCATCAAAAGAAGCATTTGATATATAGTATCAGATTTTTTAAGCCAATAATCAAAATACTTTACTGTAAATTCTATTATTATATCTAAATCGTTGACTCTTTTTTTTTAATTAATAACTCAGAATAATTGTGCAATAAACTTATGTTTCTAATTGCAATACCAAGAAATGATAATAAGTTGATAACTCGAACTATTATATTGGCCTATGCTTTTAAGTAGAGTAATATCACTAAAGAGTAATTAAGTAATATACATGCGTTGGACAACCGATAATACAAAATCACCGAAATAACCTTGTTTAATATTCAAGAACTGTATTGCAAAATGTTTGCTTCGACTACATGAGGTTACAATTCGTGTAGTGATATTCAAAATACTCGTTTCTATTGTTTAATTACATATAATAACAATAAACATTCAGTTTAGTATAAAATAATCAACAATATATTATTAATATTGACTCAAATTTAGAACAAATCTATGTTAACTTTTAGGACTAATGCTGTTTGGGAGTCTACCCAACTTGAAGCCTCTTTGATTAAATTGCTGTAGTCCATACAGACCATGCCTAAATATAATCAAATAAATGAACTAGAGTACAATATAATCTTCGCAACAAATCCTCAAGTGGCGGATATATCCGACCGACGTTGTCGCACGTCACTAAACATGAATGTACAAGGTATTATATCGATCGGCTATTCCTGTGTATGCGCATGACGTAACCTGGAGCCACCAATTCATAATATTCATACAATTTACATTGAGAATTACTTTACATTAAACAAACTTCCTTGATTCAAGTTATGATAACCATACATAAAAGGACAAATCAATTTACTCTAATATATATAATTGCAATTCATATTAAACCTCTAAATACTAGGTTTTCAGTTTATACAGAAATTAATATTTATTTTATTAACCAGACTCTAATAAATGATTTTTTTTAAATTTAATCCTGAAACTGTTTAATAATAAGATAAAACAATTATTACAATTATTTCTGCCCAATTGGGGATGGATGTATTTAAACACTATTGGTTTTATTATTTTTATTACTGTAATAATAGATATTATAAATAAAATAATTCCAATTAATTAGATCTATTTTAAATTGTTAATTATCTTATAAGATGTTCCAGAAATGCCTAAAGCATATTAAAATGTATACATCTTATCTATAGACAAAATATACTTAATAAAAAAAAGCTAAATAATTTATAGAATTTTATAGTGTGCCTGATTATAACAAAAGTACGGGCATGGATATATAATTCTCTGTATTTTGTTTGTTCTCCCCTATATGTAACACTTATTTTTAGAAATCAAATATTTCGTTTCTGAATCACTACGCGTAATAATATTGTGCAATTATATTCTTAACCAGAAATTTCGTAGGTTATTATAGTTTTTTCTTCTAAAAAAAATCATATGTATAATAAGGGAGTAATTACTTATTATATGTCGATTAAGGTTATGCTTGAGAATTACATAACAAATTCATAGAAAAAAATCGAGTATTACTAATTTTAATGGTCTAAAATTCTGTAATTAAAAACTAGTTTCAAAACCGGTTTGGGTTAAGGTTTACAAATAGATTTTTATAATAATATATGTAAAAAAAAAATAACAAACAGAGTAGATTATTTACATTTTATAACCAACAACAAATGGAACAGCAGTCAGGCGGATCGGAAACAATTTTCTTGAGCAAGAAGTCTTAATTTACACGAACTGGTAGACCTCGTGGTCAATGGCCAATTAGTAGTGATATCTCATAACAAATATAGTTACATTTTGTATTGAAATAAAGCGAAAATTAGTGAGAATGTTTACAAAATAAGAAACACATAAATACCAGAAGTTTAAAAAATAATTTTAAATATTTTCTCACAAACGTGGGGTAAATTATCCCAGATGAGTTAAAAGTGAATTACTAAATGTAATAAGATCTTTCAGTAATTAAAATCATCTATGCATTCATTAAAGATATTACAATTCGATAATGAGGACTTAAATGAATATGTTTTGTGATAATAGGTAAACAAGTTTCCTGATGTTTATCAAACTTTGCATATCTGTTTTCGTTAGAAATCCTCCATTGAACTGTATTATTTTCATGCGTTTTTGCATTAAACCCAGAATTATATTCATTTTGGGACCGGTCGTTGCGTATCCTTTGACCCACTAACCCTTTATTACAATCAATAAATGAATCTACATTTTTTTACATTTCAATTAACCTTTCTTTCAATACGTAATTGCTCATTCACGTGTTTCTAATAGCAATATTTTACAACACAGGCTATGCATATTCTAAAGTCCATATACCACGAGTCATATAATCGCAAAATTAAGTTTTTTTTTTGTAATAACAAATTTTGATTAATATTATATATTATATAATTTATTGCCTATAATATCTATGTAATTTGAATACAAATTTCTGATTTAAAAATTATCAAAACTATATTATAAATAAAAGATTTTCTTAAATGTTTATATTTGAAATAAATAGATACTTTCATATAGAATAATGAGAATAACTAGATTAAAAATGAAGCTAAAATGCCGTCATTTTGCTGACTAGTTTATATAAATTTATTCGCAACGCAATTAAATAAATAATTATTATTATATACGATCAAAATTTTAGTTTAAAGTCCGGTTGATAATTTGAATATAATATATTTAACTGGTTATTCCACGCGTATGGTTACTGTTATTTACGCATTTAGAAGCAAAATTGATTCCATTTGAATTCGTGTATAATCATCTTCGGGTTACGTTAGTTAATTAACTTGGGTTTAAGAATTAATAGAAGCCACGTGCGTAGTTAACATTTTTTTTAAAGTAAATGAAATAATTATAAATGAATTGTCCAATTATGCAAATATAATCACACCTGTTGTAATCGGCGCTTTTGATATTGTTATCTTTCAATTGTCTTCAACGATATTAAACTATTCGTCCTACAAATTACACTACTTAAGTAACATTTTGTTCGAATACTATTGTTTTTGAAGATAACATTAACGATTCAACAATGAGACCATGTCATTTGCGTGGGATGTTTTTTGTTTACAAATGTGACGATAACTGCTGATAAATTATTACGCAATTAACCGCTGTATAGAAGGTTTATTCATTTATTGGTTTCACTTTGCATACATTTAGGGATAGTAAAATAATTACATTATTTGTATTCCCAATTTTTAAAAATCAACATATATTTTTTCTTTTCATTGTTTCAGCTTAAAGCAATTTACAATTAAATAAAAATATGTATATACTTTTAACATACAACTTTTATATATTTTGAAATGGAAAATCTATGTATGAAACAAGTAACATATTCAAATTAAATTATACAATATTATATCGTATTTCCAAATCTATATAAGATATTTTAGGTCTAAATTAATTCTTTTTATGTAATATTGCCATAAGTAAACTATATTGATTACATCAAGTTTATTAAACTATTAATATTGATAGTAATGCATGTTAGTTATTTATAAATTATTATTTCAAAGATAAAGTTGAGATTAGTGGGATTTAGCTTTAGATTTAATATTATGTTTATAATTTATTAACAAATTACTGTCCAATGCATAATGCTATATTTAAATCCAAGAGTTAATTCATAGAAGTACAAAGTTTGTAATCATGTCAAAACAACAAACAAATATATAGTGAAAGTTGATTAAGTAGAGTAATAAATGATGTGTTGTTGTAGTATTTGATGATGTTTTGTTTGGTACTTAAATTGCAATGAAAACAATATTTCCATATTCATTTGTATGAACATTGAATGAAAATGGTTGATTAGATAGTACTATTCACAAACATTTGTTTTTCAAGAAGCATAACATTGATATAGTGCAAGTATAAAATAAATATGACTTACATCTGTGTCTGTAGCATTCCTGATGACACCTGGGTAATACCAGTCTCCTTGCTTGGCTAGCACACGATGGTCCTTCCATTCACTGAGATCGATGTTGCTGTGCCTTTGCACATGCTCTTCTTCCACTTTAATTGGACAGGAGTAGTCAACTGCAGTTGCCTGCGGTGGAGCAACAGGTATTGCACTTTGCACAACAGAGACAGGCACACAGACAGCAGAAGCTGTCTCTCTGTCCTCCAGTTCGGAGAGGTCAAACTTCCTCTTTTTGGGCAACTTGCAAACCCCTGCATCCATGTTGATGCAGATCACAAAAGCACAACAGAAATCAAGCAGGGTTCAAAAACTCATTGTCTAGAATCAAGGTGATTACAGTCAGTTTCCAGGAGCAGGTGGATAAGTTGATGTACTTACTCATAATTTCTTTGTGATTGTTTATAATTTTTTTTTTCTAATATTTTGTAAATATCTTATTTACAGTTTTTGCCAGGCACTAATTATAAAGGTTTTATTTATAAGGGTCACTTTTGGCACTGATTTTGGGAGTTATATGCTCATGAACTCACAAAAGCACACTCGTTTGGTTTTGGTGCATTTTTTATACAAGTAATATAAATGGTCAAGTCCTATTTGGTTGAGGTGCAGGAGGTACTGATCTTGTTGGTCTAAACATATTACCAGGGAATGTTTACACCTGAAATCAGAGCATGGTTATTCTTTGGTTCTGGGGAGTGGATAGACAGCCGAAGTGAAACAACACCCAGTGGTCATGAATGAACAACGCGAATGCATCGTTTGTTGTAGTAAATAAACACATAGCTGTCATATGGGTGAGTTGAGCAGTGGTGTGGTGTGAGTTACCTGTTTACCTGTGGTTTGGGTGAAATGGAAGTACAACAGGTTCATTTCCCCTTTCAAGCCAAGCGACATTTGAGCGAGGACGGACACGGCCGCATTACCTAACAACGTTTTGATCGCACAGAAATCATAACATGCACGACACCCACGGCGGAGCCAGCGAGATATTCAACCTATTCAACCAACTAACAGGCCAGGAGCCCCCCTTTCTGCCCCCGACACCCCCGCAATCTCAACAGAGCGCGCACACACTTGCAAACGCACGCACTCACGCACACGCACGCACCGAGTCCTTCTCTCTTTCTTCTCCTCTCTTGATATTATTATTATTATTCCTTTGACATCCTAGCTCCTGTTCTTGTGTTGCCAGTTCCAGCCAGTTCACTGCATCCGTCCGCAACTATCGGCCGTTCTCCTTCCACCACTCCATTATCTCGAACCTCCTCTACTTCCCTGTTCGCCAGACAACTTTTGGGTTCACTCACAATCGTTTTTCCGCTACTCCAAACACACCGAATCCACGTTGCCACCGCTCTCAGATTGTACCCAACCCTAAGTATTGTGCACACCAGTGTACACCTCTCCGGGCTAAACGTCAAAACTCTCAAAATCAATGTCAAAACAAAACATTTATAAACAAGGATTGCCAGGAGGAGAGGAGGAGGATTCCAAAACAAAAAAACAACGCAACACACAAGCACACATATATACACACATACGCATACATGCACCTACACATTTTTACACACACTCACATAAATACATATGTATATATTTATGTATACACAGAGGAGACATACACACGCACCGTCTGTAGTCTGTATCTTTGTCTCGCTCTATCCCCGTAATGCACACGCATCCAAGTCCGTAAGCAGGATTACGTAACAGCCATTGTCAACGGTGTGCTTCACTCCTTCCTTCGTCTGGTCTCGGCGAGCGACGGATCCGTGCGCACGGTTGACCCGTCGTTCTTCCATCGTTAACCGCACAACATCTCTGAGAAGACAGCAGCAGACCCAAAAACAAACCCAGGACAACCGGCTTCCTTGGGTCGCTGGCCCGCAGGACTTCTCGGAGATCTGTCAACGTCGCCAACCATTCGTTACGCGCCTCTCCGAGAACTCGCGACGCGCACGTTGCCGTCTCCTTTCATGCAACTTTCTTTGAATCATTTGCTTATCAACCAGAAGCTTGTCAATCAATTTCATCACTGATACTATAATATAAATAAAACAACCGCGAAGATTGTAACAATACTTGATTTACCTTTCAACAAGCGCAAATAAACATATAACCATTGTTTCTAAACAATTTATGAATTACATTGATGAATGAAGCTATCACATTGATTTAGAAATCTTAATCATTAAGGCACCATTTCTTAGTCACTAGTTCCTAAAGTTTTCTGTATACAATTTAATTTAAAAAGATATTGCCATTGTAATCGTATTATTTGATCACAACATATTACTTTCACCATTAGACCACCCAAACGATGTATTGAAATATGTGTCCAACCTTGACTGCTAATTGCTAAAGTTTGCATATTTGCACAGGATACGTAGCAGACATGAATGCACATGGATATAGATTGTATATGGCATTTTTAAACTTATCAAAATTATTATTAGTACAAACGTTCAATGTTAAAAAGCAAATTTTTGGCAATTCAAATGAAAATAATGATCTTACATTATTATTAGCAAAAAGAAATATCAACCAAAACATCAACATTATACATTCCATAATATTTATATAGTTCCATTTATTAACAATATAATTAGTATATTTTTTAATACATATTTATTAACAAAATATAAAGAGACAGACAGCAACCGGCAAGCTGTCATCGCATCTCGTTTTCCTAATGGCAACAACATTTCTGTTAACACTTCATTTAAAAAGTCAAATATATCTACCGAATTTACTAGCCCAGGAAAGATATTTATGATTAATTAACGCGTTATAAGAGAATCGCATTATTTTTATTATACTGAAATATTTATAATGGATATTTGAATTAGAAACTAATAGCAATAAAAGCAACAAAAATGAAACAAGTAAGAACTACTTGAATAGATGAAATCACAAATATTATCAGAATAATAGGAGAAATTTAGAGATCATAGAAATCTTCAAATCCAATACTACAATCTGCAAGGCATTAAATGCGGAACATTTGAAAATACAATGAAAGATCTCAGTAGGCATAAGTCTACCTGCTCCTTCAAGGTTCTTTGGCCGAAATGACAGTTATGGACAGGTAAATCGCACCATCTTGAAATGCCCACAATAAAACCATTTATTGTTGAAGTGAACTCCAGAACACAAAGTCAAAATTTTCAAGGACCTGACAATTCATAGAAGTAAAAAATGAGTACACATTCAAAAAAACTGAGAATCTCTTACATCTATATAACGGAGGTATTTTCTAGAATCTATAAATTATATATATATAAGCATTTGGTTTGGATTGAGAGATATTCTTCCCATTTATGTTTTATTCGTTGCTTAATTTTCACAAACTGACAGACATCTTACAATAATAATTATTAGGAAACGTACTTTCAGGCTTCAATGATATTTTCTTCAAAGATTTTTCTATTTATACATTGGGAAAGAAATGTTTCATGTAAACATAATGATTGAGTGAAAGCAAATTACAACTTCTACAATAGCATCATGAGTATGCAAGAAATCATGCTATTTTTTTGCAGTTATGTTTTGATAATAGTAAAATTGAAGGTTTTCAAATTTGGTGTCAAATTCCGAAAAAAACGTATCATAATCATTATAATTTTATAATAATATATTGTACAAAAAACCATGGAAAGGAAAATGCAATATTATAATTGATAAAATGTGTACACAAAGCGTAAGAGCCGGAAATACGATCTCAGACCGAACCCCGACTCTTATTAATATAATTTATTTAAATGTAAATGTTTTCAATTATATATTTATATCCTGGATTGTATTTATAAGCCAATTGTACACTGTTTATCATTCATTCTAAGATTTATTTCATTAAAGAAACTATCAAATACTTGTACATATTTATGAATGAAATTGTCCGCGTAAATTAATATCTTGTAAAAAGTTATGTATTGTAATGTGTCTATATTATCAGAAGCAGAAATGTAAGCGTATGATTAGTTTAAAGAACAATGCACAATTTGTCATACATTTTACGTTTCGTTTCATGGAATAAACTTACAACTGCGATAGTCATAATATGAATTGTGTGCTTATACTAAGACACGTTTTGAATGAAATTTATCGTATGAACCAATTTCTTACAAAATGCTATGTTTGATAAAATGTCTATTATATCAGAAGCAAAAACGTAAGCCTATGATTATAATTAAAAAACAATGCTTAAGAATTTTACACAATTTGTCATATAATCTACGTTTTGGTTCATTGTATAAACTCACAACTGCGAAATAAAGCGATACTATGAATTGATATGTTTTTGAATGAAATGTACCGCGTGAACAAAATTCTTGTAAAAGGCCGTATGATCTAATGTGTATATTCAAATACGTTGACGTTGAAACTAACGTCAGCATCAGTCGTAAATTCTGATTCTCAGTAGGTTACTTAAACTATTTCGTTATTTATTCAATCATTTCTTAGATTTGATAATTCTGTTAAGCAAATAAATTACAAGAAAATTGTATTACTCCGAAACAACATTTCTAATTATGTGCGTTACGCATCACATAATGTACATGTAATGAATTAAATTTTTGCTCTTATTTCTTGTTATAAATAGTAATAGAAAACATCAAATCTGTAATTAATATCAGCATATTTTCTTTTACACAAAGTTCACTTTTCAATTTTAAGGCGATTTTTATATGTAAATAGGTGCGTCTTATGGTCCGAATAGTACTGTATGTCACTAAATGGAGCTAAAAGTTATTATAAACAAAGAATACTTTTAAATTTCATCTAAAAGTGTTTTTTGATGTCTGTTAAATTGAAAGGAAATGTGTTTTTGCTATAAATTAATTGCAGTTGATTATTTATAATTATATGTTATAAACAAAAATAATAGTTAGATCTGTTTAAAATAACAAAGGAACGAATGCAAGTAAATGGAATTTCAAGTAAATACTTTTCGCGTTCAACAATCTGGTCTAATTAAAACCAATTACGCGATATTATGAAGATGATAATGCAAACGTGCACCCAGAACTTATAAATAAACGCATCTAAATATATATGTACATATTATGGTTACAGAAGAGGAAATCTGGCAACGACGCTCGCATCGCCTGTCAGATCAGTTAAAAAACTAGCGATCTTCTTCAGTTCTCTCATCCCGATTCCCATCATCAAACTAAGTATGTGTTGTGTTTAGAAAAACGGTTATTTATATTTCAACATTCCATGCTTCCTCTAATACATTAACATGTTAACCAAAGTATTATTCATTCTCTCATTACTAGGTAAAAAATCGTAGCTCAAATTGCTAATACCTCACTGCTCAATCCATTACATGTGTCTTGTTTACAGGATGTATCCTGGTACCTGTCCTGGCACACAGGTGCTATGTGTGTGGACCACTCCAAATGGGTTTCCAGAGATCCTGTGATCAGTTCAACTCCCTGACACAGCAGGAATTCATTGAGGCATGCAATGATGAGGAACCAATTAAAGGGACATATGGATGCAGTGCTCAATTCACAGGTTCGTTAATTATAGGAAGCATTAATTGTCATTTACATGTCATTGAAACTACATGAAATAGAGTTTAATTGATGATTACTTAATTAGAGCAATTTCTGAACCAACAAATGTATTCAATTCTACTGACTGTTACATTTGGAAAATCTCATTTAATATATCTCAATAATATATTAATTTTAAACCTTATTATAATTTACTTAATATATATAAATATATCATATTTACTTAATAATTAATGATTTGACTCAAATTTGTTTTATTTGAGTGGATCAATCATCTAAGACGCCGCCCTTAGAAGCGGTGGTTCGTAATATAAATCATAACTTGTTATTTTAAGCAAATTTTTATAAATTATTCATATTTGAATTACACAATATCCGTTTTCTCATTAAAAATATGTTACTTGACGATTTCCTTTCTAATTAGCTCCAGGCGCCAAAATACTAATCTAAAAACCTGAGTAATATCATTAAAATTATAATATATATTTGAAATTATTATTTTTATATATAAAAATATTTAACTATACTTTACTAGTTTTGAAAGAAATATGAATATGTTAAAAAATATGGAAATTAAAAAAGAAACATGTTTGACTGCCACATCTCGTTTATAGTAGTTCTTGTTATTGAAATGTATACCCTTGGGCAAAGTGTGGAAAAAAGGATGCGAAGAAAGACGGTAATAAGAAATTTGGATACAACGAAGATATTTTTTGTTTTGTTTTTGGAATTGACCTCGATATTTGAGTGTGGGTTTAATGAATAATTATTCTAAGATATTTTTTTCAGGAAACAAACATGTTATGAATAGGTATTATTTGTATAGAGATATAATAATAGAAGTTATGATTGCAGAGTAAAATGAAGTATACCTTAAATCTTTAATATAATGCTCATGTTTGATTTAGCGGTAAAGTTTCTGATAAAATTAAAAATTCGTATATAATACGTGCACATAACTTTCCAAGTTTATATTTTAAATTGCTGTTTATAAAAGTTTTAACTAAATCGTTTCAGTAACAATTTTTATAAATAATTGAAAATACTAAAAAATATAAACCAATTTATAGAAAATTTGAAGTTCTTCCAATATATTTCTTTTATACACGTTGTGTATAAAATTTTGTTAACTTTGTTTACTTTTTTGTTACAGATTCAACAATTGTCCGTGAATGTGCCGTGATAAGAATGAACGATTGCAAGGTTGCAAATAACGTAAAGTATTGCTACTGTGCGAAAGACTTATGCAATAATGTCAATTTTGACGACGATATGGAGATGGATGATGAGGATATGGCCGAAGGTAGCGGATTTATTGAAGAGAAGGAATATGAAGTAACCGAACGTATTACGACGACGAGCACAGCGAACACTTTTTATGGTACCGTCACTCTGGTCATGGTATCCATGTTACTGCGATAATGCATATATATATATATATAAAATCACACTGAAGAAACAACAATATTGTCAATTCCACGATGTTTAGGACTTTAACATCAAGCTCAATGATATACCAAATATAAACATTGGTGTTAATTTATTTTTCAGTGCCCAAGGCTTTATGACCAATGATTTTTCAATACTCACTTTGGAGGCTACGAACGTCTGGGTCATGTGTGCAATTTAGATGTTAGCGTTTCTTGCCGATTGTATGCGCTTTTAGTATTATGTAAAGAAAAGAAGAAAAAAAATACACGCACACAAACACAAAACAATTATGTAACAGTATTATATAGGCTATACAAAAATATGTCTTCCTCAGCTTTAAATACAAAAAAAAAAAATGGAAAATTATGTAACTGTGCAATACTAGTCTTGAGAAATAAGAAATCTTAATATTTATTTATATAAAGTATTTTATTGTTTAAATAACAAATAAACGCTTTTTTTATATATATATAAAACTTTCGTTTTAACATTATACAACTGTTTCTAGGTACAATTATTTTTAACACGTATATTTAAGTTGCCGTAGATGGCTTTAACTTACATCAATATACATAAACTTATTTTATTATAAATAATTAAATTATAAAAACAATTGTAAAGATTTTAAACTATTCTATAACTAATGACTCGAATAAGCCGCACTGTTACGTGCGTGCACTAAAATCTTAAATAAAAAAATAACCAGTATCAGTATTAGTACCAAATGTGTCCAAACCGATTATATCAGTCTTATAAGGTTTTTTTTGACACACGTTTTAATATATATATATATTTATACAAATAATATTTACATCATTATTCTTATTTGTGAAGATATACATTTGCCTTGCAATTTAATTAAACTACTATATTGTATACATATATATATATAATCATAAAGCTTGATATAGGAATGAAAGCGTATAATCCCTTGTAAGGGACAACATAATTTAGCACTAACATTGTATCACAAATAAAATATTCATTGTTGGAAAAAGGATTTATTCACATCATCAGAACTCTGAATCAGTGAATAAAAAAACATGTAGCACTGAACCCTGTACTTGGTGTCTTGAGGAGACACGAATGAGCTGGACTCATCATTAAATTCGATCCACCTGTAAGTAGAATGCAACAATTCTAAGTACACGCAAATCTTTGAGTATTTGGAAATCACTTACTTTTTGGTCAACGTGTTGTGACATAGAGCTGTGTAGTGCCCAACATCACGATTCCCGGAATGCAGACTGACAGAGCTTAAGATATACTTGTGCAGCCCGAAATGGATTTCCGTTTGGAAGTAGCATTCATTGTTGCGACGCAATATACAGTTTTCCCGCCGGTTGAAAGCGTACCTGAAAAGCATTGGATGGTTAAACAAAACTATGAACAGCAGTTAATAATAATCTACCTGACAATATTGATGCACAAGATTGTAGGATAGTATGTTATTTTTTTCTTTTGCATGTTGCGACGTTCGCACAGCGTACAAAACTTCGAAGTTGTCTCATCTTTCTCCTCAAGATTACTCCTAAGAGAATCTTGCAATGAAATTGATCTTCCGTCCTCAGGAAGCGAGAGAAATATAGTGTTACCGTAGTCGTACTTTACAGTAACCCTGTTACAGAACTCGCAATTTGTTGTAATTTCTATTTGATAATAAAACGTGCGATTGATGAATGAGTTTGTATTCTCAAACGTATTGTACCAATCTTTTAATCTAGCAGTGCAATCACGGTTGTCTGTTTCTACCATAGTTTTAACTTCGTTGTGAAGACACTTGGTCAGAAAGATATAAAATTCGTGGACATCCTCGTGACGTCCATTGGAGTATCCTTTATCAGTGTCTGCACTGCAGACTGCTCCATAGAAAGAACTTGGACGAACGGAAGCCCGTTCTTCGCCCCACATTGTTTTAAGCAAGTCAGTTATAGAATAGATTAAGCGGTAGTTCTTGTCGTTCGGCCACTTTTGGAGGGTTAAACTGAACAAGAACATCGGGCAAAATCTCAAACACTGTACCAGGGAATTCATATAGCAAGTATTTTTAATGTTGAAAAGACCAGTATGTCCTGATTTGCGGAAACGATCTTTTAGTTCTGTATTCTGTAAGTAGTTCTTAGAATCAAGTGGTTTTTGTTTCCTATCAGGAATCTCTGGTCTTTTCTTGACCGATTTTTCAATCGCTGGGTAGTTCAACTCCCTGTCCATCGGCGATTCCCTAATCTCAATGTTCTTCCGCTGTTGATACTTCAGAAGCTTTTTACGGTCCAACACTTGGATATCATTAAGCATCTCCTTGAGAAGGTGTCCGTCATCATTTGTCTTCTTATCATTATATTCAACATCTAGCAGATTGCGTCTCTCGTTCAATTCGATTTTATATGACTCGCCTTTGGATATATTTTTCATAAGTTGCTTAAGATCGAGCGCACGTGATTTCATGCCATGAGATATGCAGTTGATCATGTCTTTTTTCAGATGGTATCTCTTCTCAACCAAATTTAACAAATTAGTTTCTAATGTGAGTTGATGCTCGGCCAAGGTAACAATGTTTTGTAAAATTCTTGTCGATGGAAAACCATCATTCTTAATATCATTCACCATTTTCTGGCTGTCGGATTTCTCTTCCCCCTTCACTTTATCTGCATGCGACAAGTCCGGATACTCAATATCATCAATCAATTCATCAAGCTTCCCATAAAATTGATTGTAAATCTTTGAGGGGTTTGTTACGAATGATGGATAGTGATCGGCCCACGTTTTGATACCGCCATCAACAACCAGTGGTAGAATCTTATAATTTTGCTCCAAGTCCCACTGCAATTACTAATTATAATATTTAATCTTTTTTTCTTTATTGATATTTACCTCAACTAGAATGGTTCTGAGATCTTCCAATTTAGAGCTAGAGAATGAAATTCTTGTAGTGTCTGTGTCAATGAGTACAATCACATGAAAATCATGTCTCTTCCTAAATAATGTTACATTTTCAGGACTGAGTTTCATCTGAAGAGTATTTGTAGATAGTCTGAAAATATCAAAATATATACAAGATGAATAATGTCAATTACAGTTTACAATACCCTTTTCGTATAATTTCATCAGGAACATGAACAACATTATGATACTTGATGGAGCACTCTAAGTAATCTTGAGTAGGTCTTGCATCAATTATTAATAATTGTACACTATCATCAATTATCAATTTGTATAAAGAATCGACGTTAGTAAATACATCTGTAAAGAACATTTAATTATATTCAGATATACTGATGTATATGCTTCAGAATTTTACCTCCATCTTTAATGTGTTGCATTATACCATGCATCTCTTTTATATCTTTGCTTCCATCCAATTCTGCTATGGCCTCTTTTATGGAAGTTTCATTGAGATTTATAGGTTCATTCTTTATATATCTCTCTTGCAGAGACAGATCACAAGCATTCTTTATGTTTTCCACAACCTGTATTTGTTTAGAGAAGCGCATGTGATGGAACCGTTCATCCTTTACTTGCAACTTGATATTGTTGACCAAATTCAGGTACCTCATGCAAACAATATACAACAGCTCTTCATCAATAACATCGGCTGACTTCAGTTCTAGTGTCTTCTTATATAATGTATCTGATACTCGATACAACCTGCGGTATATGAAACTGTAGTTACAGTGTATATTTGTTATTGTCTACGTACATTTCCAATCTTTTACCAAATGAACTCTTGGTCACCAGCTTATTTAGCTCATCCAAGTTTTGGGCCAAATATAAGGGCTTCTCCGGCATTTTGCTGTATTTTATAGTTCAAATGTAAACAAACCGCTCATTTGTCAACAAAATCAGAATAAGTACAATCACTACAATTCCAACTAGGTGCAAGCAAGCAATGATCAGCGATGACAGCCTTAACTCCCGTCTACTCCGCTCCCAACAGTTCGTTTTCCATTCACTTGTTTATACGTCAAAGCAAAGCCAAAGCTAAGTAAAGCCAAAGCTAAAGCACGTCAATGCGAAATCGCTACCAATATGAAAAAAAAATCTATATAAGATAATATTCGTTAATTACAGTTTAACTTAACGTTTACCGAACCGCACGTACTCACTATTCGCGGCAGTCCTTGAAACAAGGGTTGCGTCCCCGTTTAATATATTACTACAATGAATAATACCCGGAACTAAAATTTTATAAATAATAATCAAAAATCAAATACCAATTTGATAGACTGAGAAGAATCTGATAAAACAATTAATTATCCTTAAAAAAAAAAACAAATAAAACCATTAATTTACCAAATTTTCTTCAATCACCGAGAAAAAACAGCTACACATTTGATGACCAAAACAGAAAAGAACGCTAGTGGCCACTTCCGGTGTAACTATATATTTCCAAGACGCCAACCTCTATATTCAAATATTTTTAGAAACCGTTGCAAAAATTAGTTTTTTTAACACTTATCTAATTAGAAAATGAATACATAAAAAGGTTACAATAAGAAATGTAATATACGTATTTATAAAGATTTAATCCATCTGTATTACTACATCTGTTGTCAACTTACGTTGCAGCGAGCGCCATCTGTTGCGACAATAATAGAGGTATATTCAAATATCATTGGTTTCAAATGATGGTCTTCTATTTAACATAGAGTTTTTATATCGCGGTATAAATATGTTTTTTTCATGGCATTACGCAATTAATTATTTAACAAACTTTACTTTAAGTAATTATAATTTTATACTTGTATTATTTTTTATGGGTGTGGTTTCATGAACGAACTTAATATAAACTGTTTTGTGTCCTCTTGACCTAGCATTTTGAGAAGCACTGTTCCGGTACTACCTCACTACTTTCGTAAATTAATAGGGCACTATTTATTCTACTAAATAGTACTTATAAAATCCACACTACATTGGATTTTATCTATGATACAAATATACTTGTTTTGTGACTTGTTTATAATGATATTATTTATATTCAGTATTATTTAAAACCTTTTATACCTTTAGGGAAAATGTATATTTCGTATATTATGTACAAATAAAAAATGTTCAACTTACAAAAGGTTTACTAATATATTTTAAAAATAATTGGATGTAATCCTTGATGTGATTGCTAATATATATAATTATTAATTGTATCTTGTTTTCGCGTTTTTTCTCAAGTATAAGACGCACCCAGCTTTTATACCCAATTTTTTCGAAAAAGGGTACAACTTATACTTGGAGTTAATGTAGAATGTTAAAATATATATATAGAATGCATTTGCGCTCAATGTACAGAATTATTTTTAGAATTGTAATTAGATTACTGTCACTGTACATTTGCAAGAAATAATATAATTTTAGCTTTGTAACGTTACAAGACTAATACCACAAGATTTGCATGTTAAATACGATATTATTTTTTAATATAGAACAGGACGCAGCTAAGTGCAGAGAGAAGCAAATTACGAAGAATATAGAAATTATTAGATTTCAGATGGTTTAATTAAATTCAAATTGATTAAATCTAGAAGCTTTATTACATTTTAAAATAACATTACAAAAACTATACATTTTATTTAGTATTTCTAAAGAGGCTTTGGAGACAAGTTATATATATTGGAATCCAAAACAGGATATATCGTTAAAAGTAAACTATTTTTAGAATATCAACACAATATAAATTTAACTGATCTGGGATTTTTGACCGAATAATCAATGCTTTTTGTAATCAATTCTTATACTAACGCCACGATTTATTTATTGATTATATTGAATGAAAATTTGCAGAAAATTATTATAAACAAAATATAGACATTTCTATTATTCCTAATAGTAGCGACATTGGTAAATCTGGGAAATGCAATTAAATTTTACTAACGTTTTCATTAAATATATATTATAATTTATATTTATTTCTAAATAGTATTACCCAGGAATAGATAAAAACGTAAAATGTAGTTATAAATAAAGTGGACGAATACTGCTTTGCCTTCGCTTCTAGTAACATAAAAAACTTTCAGAACACCCCAAAAGTATATTTATTTGAAGTACATACATTCTGTAATAATCATATATATGAGATACTCTATACTTTTAAATATATATATATAGAAATATATTTTATAAATATGCCCATTTGATGGTTAAATGGATATTTTAACATATTTTGAATATATTCATTATATGGACTTATATAATAGATTTGGGGGAAAATATAATAAAATTCTGAAAAAAAAAGGAAAAACTAAACTATTGCTGTGCTCGTATATATGATGAACAGAAGGTTACGAAGTTGGACATAGGATAGTTGGAAATTAGTCAATGCTTTTTTTATAATTGAATCTTGTGTTAATGCGACGGTTTGATTAAATAAATGTACGGGTATTTCTACAAAGATTCAATTTGAACATGACTAAAATAGTTTATTAAATATTATGATAATCGCAGCAGATTGCAAAAGCCAAACGGTATGTGTATATATATATATTTTTTTAAATTTCGTTCGAATTTCGGTTAAGAGGCTTTGGTAGACGGTATTACAAGCGAAGAGAGTAGGTTCCAAAATCCAGTAATGTGTTGCAAACTTCATATGCGCTCTTCACGTTTGTCTCTCGTTTTAATAAAGATTATGCAAAATAACTATCACAAGACTAAGCCCATTCTTATAGAAAGTGAACTGATCGTTATACTTTTATTATTTGTTTATCTCTCTCTCTCTCTCTTCCTAGGGGGCTTATCTTCCAAATGTCTAGTCTGTTATTATCTTGAGATGGCTGTCTTCTTCGCTTTCTTACATTCCTGTACTTTGTTGGCGTCTGCACGTCTCAATGCGTTCTGGTTGTCTGAACGAGCTCTCCCACGGAGGACGCGGTTAAATGCCCTGTTTTCGGGAAATTTGACGGCGAGCGAGGATAGAGTGTCTCTTTGCTCGTCGCTGTCAACTTCTTCGACGTTTGCTTCCGCTTCTGGCTTCTTTTGAATATCCATTGTTGTGCTGAACAACAGGTTGTTTATGAACTGCAAGCGGTCTGCGGTGTTCTTATCGGTGGATGATTGCAGAGACAGATCTTCAAGAAGGCCTTCTAGTAAGAAGTCCGATGGTGGAGCGGGTGCAGACGGTGCTGTAGACGCCGCCTGAGCTTGCGTACTCGTAGAACTGGCCAGTAGACTATATCCCGGATTTGCGTTAGCACTGGCTTCTCTGAGCGTCTGGATCTGATTCTGACGTCTAGGCAACCGCTCCAACTGCTGCCTCGCGGCACTAACTTGTTGCCTCTCGAGCTGTAGCTGCATCTGTAATTGCTGCAACTGGCTAGGTGTGCTGCTGCTGCTTCCAGAACGTCGGACCCCAGATAACTGGGACAACAATTCAGCAATCGGATCCACAGGCTCTCGAGAAGAAGGCGACAACGAGCTCATCCCGCCTGAGCTGAAAACACTACAAATAACATTTAATTTAATATTTCCTTATATAAGTCATGAAAGTTATACCTAAAATGCATATTGGATCTTCTGGGTCTTCCAGAGCTGCCACCTCTGCTGCTTGGCATATGCCCAGAATGCTGGACTCTGCGCCTGTTGCCGCCGACAGGCTCATCCAAAAACGTTATTAGATCTCTTGTACCAGATCGGTGCTCTATAGTTAAATGTCCGGCAAAATCATCAGTCATCAAGTTTGGATCACCTCCTGGCATTGCTGCACACACTGGGCACACCTACAAATTTTGATTTTCATGAAAATTGTTTATTAGTTAAAGGATGACAACTTTGACAACCACTGAGGCTACAAATGTGTAACATTTGCTAAAATGCTTTTTTAGCTTAAAAACTTCCTATTTGAAAGTAATATTTAGACAATTTCAAATATGGAAATAAAGGTTATTATACAGAACTTTACCACTTCAAATGATGTATCTCCATGATCAGAGGTCACATGTTCCTGTAGGGTCACATCAGTAAATCCCATACGGGAACAATAGGGACATGTATAAGCTTGTGGCTGATCAACATTTGTGATAGCTTCACCAGCATAAAATAAATCTATGAAAAAAAAAATGCTATTGCAAATTACATTAATAAAACATGTACAATGTATTACCAAAATCAGCCCTTGTGAGGATACATTGGACTGGATGATCTGTGGTATGTCTAGTGTTTGTAGCACCAGATTCATAGCAGGCATCACACAAATCATAATCATAACAAATTAGACATTTATATCTTCTGCCACGGAAGTTTCCCTTCATACAAGAATCACAGCTTACACCTGAAAATCAGCACTGATGCGTTGAATTGTTTCTTATAAGAAGCCATTTTTTTCAGATAGAATTAAATACAAATTGATTGGTGAAAGACAAAAAAAAAATGGTGAAACATTATATACCTTCATGACGACTCATTTTAAATGTCGTAGGCAACGTACCATTTGCAATGCACTACACAAAGTTGATATAAATAAACCTCTAGTAACTCTTATTTTCACTGCTTATTTTTATACCGACATATGCAAATCAATCCATTTCTTGCCCTTAACCCAACTCCATTACAATGAATCCTACCCTAAATTGAAGTTTACTTGTCAAGTTGTTGCCAACATGTAAAACTAAATTTAATCCTGTTACCAATTACAGAAAGTTACGGATCGGAGGAAAATGGAGAACGCTAAAAATTAATTGCAGCATTTCTGCTTAATATTGTTTATTCACAAAGCAAAAGAAGAAATTTATAAATAATAAACTATTAAATGAAACACGAAAGTTACATAGCTGCAATGTCTTTCTTTTCGTTTTTAAATATAATATTTCTTTTTTTCTTCCTCTTGCTTCTTCCATCTAGGAAGAGCCTCTACCATTTAATTAATATAAATTAAGGAATTGAATAGTTTCCTAAGAGGGTCAATATCTATTTAAATAAGTAAACATTTCTTTTAATTGTATATACACGTATTTCAATCACATTATATTCTAAACCCTAAGCAGCCCTAGTTTAGCTTTAAGCTCAATGCATACCTCCTCTTGTTCCATAATGTTTCTAACGAGATTGATTTTATTAATTTGTAAAATTTGGTTCTCCTTATGTAACAGGTCCATAACCTCGCTCATGTTGCTGGAGTTGTTATAAATTGGGATTGGGATGGTCTGCGATTCAGGCTGTATCTGCTGCTCGAGCTCGGCAATCTCCGCTCGCTCCGCCTCAATGTCCTTCATTAATCTATTTTTTAATTCTATTAAAGCTTTCTGTTTAAACTCTAAGAAAAGTATTGCTTGATCACTAAAAGGCTTCTCGATATTTTCAAGTACTTGTTTGCAGTTTATCTTTTGTACGGAATTCCCATTTACAAGAGCGACCTCGCTTTGATTTGACTGGGAAGACTCGGAATCTGTTACGTGTTCTTCTGCGTCTTTCACTTCAACTGGCGTCTCTGGTTCTTTCTCCTTTTGCAAATTCTTAATTTTCCTCTGAAATATTACAAATAAAATACGTTAATAAATATTTATTTATAATAAATATCTAAATTTACCTTTAACTGTGTTATAATTCTTTGCACCTCCCAAAGCAATTCTTCCCTACTTTTAGATATGAATCCTGCATTCATTTCCGAGTGGATTTGTGCAAGAAGGCTTTCCTGCTTCACTAGCTCACGTTCTAGGCCCTGCAGACACTGAGGTAATTGTGCTGTGCTTGTTAAGGGTGGCACATAAGTATCTAAAATAACAGTAGGAAACAAAGCCCTACAGTGGTGAAGAAGTACTGTTAGAAGTCGATTGGTAGTATGAAGGGCTGGGCTCAGAGCCACCACAACATGCTGTATATTCATTTTGTTATGCCTCTCCTAAAATCACGTAAATAAAAATCATGAACTAACAAATAACAAATGATTAACTTACATTAAGAACTACATTGTCGAAATGTATTAGAAGCCATGAAAGTAATATACGGTTATTTACAGGTAGGTTTTCAGTTAAGGTTCTTAAATGCTTCTCTCTTGTTCCAACATTTAAGATAGCGCCGGCTTCTTCAAATCGTATCAAAGAGTCATTAGTAAAAATTGGTTCAGGTAAGTCTCTCAAATACATCTTTAAAAGACTTGTAGCTATTGGTACATCATACTCTTTTAAGTCAACGTTTTCTCTTTGATTGTAAAGTTTACGAATTTGAATTACTTTTGATTTTGTGCCACTTATTTTATAAACTCCTTCCATTGTAAGTCCATGCTCCTGAATATAATCAATGCATACTCGGACTGGCAAAGGAATGTCAACACCATCATGGCATTTGCTCCTTTCAACAGCCACATCCAAAGGAACACCAAAAATAGGTAAACCCTCTAAAAAAGTATATAAATAAGTAATATAAAAAACAATATTATTTTGATAGTATTCCACCTGCTATATCCGTGCATTCCTCTGTCTTAATTTTCTTTTCTTTTTTTTCAGATTTAGTCTTTTCCAATTTCTTGTCACTTTTTTTCTCCTTATCTTTCTTTTTCTCCAATGTTTCTTTCTCCCTGGACTTTTCACGTTTTTCCTTAGATTTTGTGGAAAATTTGAAAGCCTTTGTTTTCTTTATTTTTGATGGGCTCCTAATGAACAAGCAAATAACAACCATATTCTGTACAAGCAAAAATGCATTCTCACCTAGACTCTATTTCTTCTGCGGAGCTCTCCCCTTCCAAAGCAGCATAACCTCTGTCCTTGTCTTTCTTATCCTTCTTGTCTTTACGTTTACCCAACAAATCTTTCTTGGCCAGCTTATCAGTTTCATCACTGTCTACAATTGAAGACTCTATTACCTCTTGGATCATCAACATACTTCTACTTACAGTCACTGTCATTGTTTCCCTTTTTGCTAATATCAGAAGCATACAGGCCAGGAAAGTCCTTCATGACATCAGGACTCTCAAAATCCATAGTTGCTTGCAATAACCAGGCTAGTTAGCACTCAAAAAACATAACTTTCACAATATTCCTATGAATTGTTACATACTATAAATAAAAGTTTGAAACAGTTATCGCTGAAATAACTGTTGTCAAACACTGGTGCAATAAAAATGAATAACCCTTATGACAAATCTTACATGAGCAATTGGTTGCATAAGACATATACACCTGTATATTAAAAAAAATAGAGAACTATAGGGAATAATTATTTAAAAGAAAATACAACTATTGTTTAGATCAACTTAAAATATAAGTTAAATAATGATTACTTTGTAGGACTAGTCTTATGTTTTCTTGAAATACTATGCAATTTTAATAGCACTGTTGGCAATATTTGTGGTGAAGTGGCATATTTTGCTATTTAGTAACTATGCAATGAGTTTTGACAAATATTATAAGATTATGATGGTTGCTACAGAAATGAGTTATGTATGCATGAGTCAGAGGGTATTTAAGGAGCAACTGTTACACCTACGAAGGCAACTGCATATGCTGAAAGTAGTATAGGTTGCATACATTTGATAGTTGTGTAATCTAATAATTTTATCTTCTGCATTTCTGTTTAATAACAATGTTGAAGGATTTTATGAAAATTATTAATATAAAATATTGTTTAATATTTTTTTTACTGTTGTTTTTCTTTTACATTAATATGTTTTTTAGTTTCAAATATTATTTTTTCTATATTTATTGGGTAACTTCAGGACCGCATTAAGAAAATTAAAAAATATTTAAATTTTATAAAAATTTAATTTTTATTTCAATTTTCAACAGCTTCAAAAGGATTAATATAATTGAATTTAATACTTAATCATATATTAAGATTAAGATTGTGATGAATTCAACTATTTTTTGTGGGCCCTGAACTCATTTTATGTAATACTAAGTTAAATAATACAGATGGATTAAATTTACAAAACAATTGAATTATAAAATGTATAACGATTTATCTTTGAATTGTTTCAAAACAAATGGATAATTTAGGAAACAAAAGAAATACAGAAACTATTTTGCCTGCTCTCGAATTATTGATTAGAATTTCTAGAACACATTCTGAAGGTTCCTTTTTGTATTCCACGGCAATGCTTTAATCTTATTGAAATTCTCAAGTTACCTTCAGTCGTCAAGATGTATTGCATTGTAAATGTACTTGTTCCACACCTTCACAGAAAAAAAGGTAATTACGTTTTCTTTACACCTTTATAGGGTACAGAAATAATATAGGACAAATGTTATTTCATTCTTGTTGTATATGCTATTTTATATATTTAAATTCTCTCGATAAGTTATACTACGTATTCATCATGTACAGAAAGGACATCATTTGCATGATGCTATCTGGAAGTGGAAATGTTAGCCGTCATGGTCCGGGTTTCCTATGAAACAGAAATAAAAAAACAACGTTGAATTAACTACAATTCGCGTGATGTTATCTGGATGACAACGTCACCTTCCGTGCATTACAGAAGTAATTTGAAAGCTTTTTTTTAGTAATGGAACGACTTAATTGCATTTACATTAGTTATGCACTTTAACAAAATATCATTTTTTACAGCTAGATTGTTTAATCAATAAATTTTATTTTAAATTTAAATGTATTTTATACTGTATACCTAAATGTATATAAAAATTTTATGTAAAAGAGTCAAAAATAACATGGTTTATCAAAATCTCTCAATATTCTTTTGTGGACAGACGTTTTTACATTGTATTAATGCTGATTTCCTAACGTTTGATGAATTAGTTAATAAATATGAATATAAATGTATGAAATGCTTTCTAAATGAATTATATTATATGCATATACAGATAAATCTTGGTTGAATTTAATTAAAAAAAAAGATAATTTGATGAGCTGAAGAAAGTAATGTACTGAATTGTGTTTCAGAATGTTAAAAACATTACTAAATGTAAGGGGTAAGAAAATAGATACGATAAATCTGAAGGGCGATAGGTACACATAAAAAGGAGGGGGCTCCGCGTAATATAGGTCAGTAATGGTGAACCCTTCCTGAATGATTGATTGTTTTGAACACATTCATTAACGAAAACGTTTATCAATTATAAAAGAATAGAAATACAGTGGAACCTCGCTTAACGAGTTTAATCCTTTCCAAATGCATATATTTAAGTATTTTTTTGGTACTAATGTATTTTTAAATTCACAGTTTAAAATCGACTATGTACTTCAGTTTTTATTTTCACAACTGTCATCATTGCTAACGTACATATGGATATGGATATTTTTTCTTTACTTCGATAAGAGCAATAATAAAAATATGTACGTATTATCGAATGTACATAAGTGAGTGTTTCATATAAATAATGTGTATACATATTTAAATCAAAATATATAATTTTACACTTTGTTATACAACTTTTGAAAGAACCATAAAGCGGATTACCCTATGAATTGACAAATATATAATCACATACACTGTGTTATAATAAACACAATACTTAATTTACTTCTTTTTTGTTGCAAATCCGTTAAAGAAATTGCCATTTCACAATTGTCCAAAACTCTTAAAAAATGTAATTCACGTTTAAATATTTTAAGTAGTAATTTGTAGTTTTTCCTTTCTACATATTTTTTTTAAATTCTTATTACTATCAGAAATTTAATTTGATTATTTCAATTAATTTTTTTTCACAATAGCAAAGTTTTGTCTATTATTTTTTTTTATAAAATGTATTCATTCAATTACATCATACATTTACATTGGAAGCGAGGATGTATGTAAAATAGGTGGGGGACGATCGAGCATCCCTGACGCAATCTCCCATTCTCCGAATGCAAAACCCTTGACTCCCACATTCATCGATTCTCAAATACGCCCACGCTCTCACGTGAATTTGCCGCACGCATTCTATCAGATCCCTGTATCCTCCCTCCCACGTAGACATTCCATAAGCTTTGAATAAAGCTTCTCTTACATCTTTTGTAAACCTGAGCTTATGTTGTAGTCCTTTATACCATGTTGGAAATTTCATTCTAAAACATAGCTTATATTATTTATTTTACAATTTAAATTCTTACATTTTCGGTACATATTACAAAGAATGTATAGGAATATTTTTGGTAAAAAGTCGTATTATTACAAATTTTACTTCTAAATTTTAATCTGATTTAACATATTTGCTTTTATTTGTATCACATTTTATTACCTAATAATAATATTTATTGTAAAAATTATATAATTATAGCAATAATTACATATGTACAAAACAATTTAATATTTTGGATTTGTTATTATTTATTTAGAAAAATATTAGACATTAGAAATTGATGCCTCCTCCTAGGTGTGGATCTGTACGAACTTTTGATTTATAAATTTTTAGTAGGGTATGGGATAATTGGGTCAACTCCCTATGACTACAGTATACAGGTTGCAGCTATAAAAGGACGTCTCCAAGGGGTGTTATAAACTTTATTATAGTACTTGGCTATTGACGGACCCTTAAGGGACAAGCATAAAATGGAAGCGTACGCTGACTACAATTCTAACAATTCTCCTCAAGAGTAGTTGTTGGAGCAATTTATCAAACATGATTCAGTGGTCAGGGTCGTATGCAGCTAAAATGATCATCATTTTTTTATGAACAAACACAGCAAAACCTACATCATTTATGTAGAAATACTAATTTATTTCAAATCCGCACTGTGCGAGGTATTGATGTAATAACAAATATTATCATGTGGTTTATAAGTTTTTATAAATACAGTCATCGCTCACATTACAAACACTTTAACGTACGTTCTACAATACGTACACGAGTATTTACGACAATTTGATAACTCGGACAAGTCGGAAGTTGTGTATAAAATATAAATAAATACATAAATATCAATATGAGGTATTTACACGGATATAACTGGTGTCGTTAAAAAATAAATATTGTGGGTTGGACGGCAAAAGTACGTTCGAGCGAACGAATAGAGAATTTAACAAATATTCATTTTAGAACAGCGTTTTTCAATCTTTTTTGCCATTGACCAAACATATTTGTTTGTAGTTGTACATCGACCCAATTGCCAAGAGTATTTCAGTTCGTCGTTTTGACATGAAGTGATAATTGTCATTAAAAAATTAATTCATTGGTTGATATTAATTTTCAGTTTGTTTAGAAAATCTAAATCAATTTAAGATTAAAACCACTACCACTACATTAAGATTTGAGTAATTAGCAATAAGATTACAAATTAATGATTTAATCTATTAATCTTGATTTCAAAGTTACAGCAAACTCTAGAGAATTGTCTTTAATTAAAATGAAACTACACAATTAGTTTTCCATTTAATTATAAATAACGAAGGATACGAAGCAAATCGTGCAATTTCATCCTATCATGTACTTCCTACAGGATAGGATGAAATTGCAGGTACTAAAACCGAGGAGAATTAACTAAAATTATCTGTTGAATATAGCTAGGATACGGTAGTGAATGGACGTCAAATTGCTCTATATAATACTTGTTAATGGCTTCTAAAATTATACAACCTGTCAAGAAATTTAATCAACTTATTTATGTTCAAAGTGTGAATAAAGAAGTTCATTTTCTGATTAAGTAAAATATTTTTATTTTATACTTATTCGAGGTAATTCTGTATTTTTATTTACTGGACTAAAAATAGAAACATAAAATGATATCTTCGAATTTTAATGGAATGTTTGAGATTGTTTTCTTTTAATTTTTTGGAAACCAAATTGTGGATTGTGGACGGGTTGAGTTGTACGGGCGTCGGCGAAGGCGGTGTGCGCATATACATGATATTGACATTCAGAACTGATGGTTCAATGTTATTTCAAAATTAATAAATATGTATCTGTATCAGGTCGTGGTATTAAAAAAAAAACAAATAGAAACAATTTGTCGTTTCATACAATAAATTAATAGTAATATTATACAATCATGATTAATTTTTTTCATTTTGGAATAAATTTTAAAAAGCTCTCTGCATTAATGCAACGTTATATTAACATTACTTTACTACGTTTTCTTTTACACCATTATGAATAAGTATTGATTCAATACCTTTTATTTAAATTGCTACTAAAAAAATGATTCAGTGCCGTTAAAGTAATTGAATATTCAAAATGGAACTAATGTATAAAACGTATTACAGTCATCGATTCCAATTTAGTTCCTTGAAATAATTGGATTTTTTAAAATTATTTCAATGTTTAATAATAACAATATTTATAGAAATCGTTATATATTAATTAGAATTATTTAATTAATTTATTAATAATTTTGACGCGTGACATAAATCCTTAAAAAATAACTGATAATATATTTTTTTTATAATAATAACAGAAAAATGTATTTAATCAGATTTATAAATATTTCAACATTTTAATCACGATTTTTTTATCATGATCATGAATATTAACTAATAAATTGTTATTTTACGGTTATAAAACTTTTTTTTATTAGGATAATTTGTAATTAATTATGTAATTGTATGGTTCTTGTAATTATTGTTAAGTCAATTAGATAATCCATCAATATTTATATAATAAATTGTATTGTTTTCAGGAAGACAAAATGTATGAGTTTTATATATGGAATTCACTGCGTGCTAGAATTGCGTTATAAATCGATGATACTTTTGTGATATTGGAATATGTGGAGTTAGATGAAAGATAAGTTAATAGATTCCTTCAGAAACAAATGAAGATTTGATTGGATTTGTGGATATTTCTTGTAGAAAGACAGAAATAAGGTGATCCAAACTATAACACATAAGAAAATTTTTGGAAAGCAAAAAATATTACTGCGGCCCTTTGTATGTATACAATATATTAGTTTCATCGTATGGCTGAAAATGAATGAATTATAAATAAAAGGTTTCAAAAATAGTATATATTTAGTTTTTAAGTGATTTGTGGATGTGCGCGTTATTTGCTTTCAAGCTCTAGTTCACTGCGAACTCCAAATTGCGATCGATGATACCGAGCTAATGATGTTGTAGTAGGTGGAGTTTCATGGACCAATATATTAATAGACACATAATTAGTAATGTAGAAGCTTTGCACATTTTTTTTGCCCATCAAATTGCAAATATTGTTATTGTAATTATTCGTATAAATGAACTATTCGACAACTTTGGTCACATTAATGATATTTAATATTGAGGCCAAAAAATGTATATGTATACTTTAAAATATATGTTATTAGGAATAAAATTGTTATATAATTTATGTGATTTGGAGCTTTGTGTTAAGCGAACAATGATATGAGTTAATTATATTGCAGTAGCTGGAATTTGATGAACCGATAGGTTAATAGATTTCTTGAGGAACAAACTAAATCAAATTAGAAGTGGCGTTTTTTTTATGGGTATGCAGCAATAATTCTGGGCGCGATGGGACTGCGTAGATAATAATTGTGTTAGTTAGGTTTCATTCGGGGATGTCGGGGGTGGAAGGATTTATTGATTGAATCAACAGCTGGTGGGTGGACGCGCAGGCGGGATTGGCAGGATGGGCAGAACCGGCGGGTGTTGGCGGAGCCCTACCTGCGCCGTACCGCAGGTAGGGTAGCGCGCGGGAAGGGTCAGGAAGGGTATAAAGCGCAACACCCGGGTTCGCGGCCAGCCATCGTCCGTCCCGATTCCCGACTTTGTGTTCCGTTCCTGCCCAGCCATGGTTCGCGTGGCGATGGCGCCGCACCCGCTGCTGCTGGTCTCGGTAGTGGTGGCCGTGTGTGCGGCCATCCCTCACGCCGTTATGGCCATCGACTTGAGCAGACTTTACGGCCACCTCAGTTCCAAAAGAAACGGTAAGTCGCAAAAGCAACCCCTACACTACGAAACGGATAAGAACAGATCAAATCACTTGTTGTGCGGAGGATCGTGGCTGGGTGCATCAACAGTTGTGCCGCACGTCTATCGATCCTACGAAATCCACGGGGGGATGAAAGGGCGCGGCATTCCGCAAACCCATATTTTCTCAATGCATTACTAATGAATTGATCTGTTGATGTCCACCCACATATCCCACGCATCCACTAAAATTGCATAATTAATGAACGATTATCTGAAATCAATGGGCAATGTGCTTGACCGTGTGGCTGCTATTGTATCCGGGACGCAACATTTGCCAACCTGTTGCGGAATTCCATCATTATAAACACACTCACCCACACCTTTAATATATAATTTACACAAACTATAGTGTAAACAAGGGTTGGCCCTTTGGTATTGATTTTCTCGTGGGTTGAAGGTGATGCTTGCCACCCATACGAACCATTCAAATGTCCCGGCGACGGAAATTGCATATCCATACAGTACCTTTGCGATGGAGCACCGGACTGCTCCGACGGCTATGATGAAGACTCCAGGCTTTGCACGGCTGCAAAGAGGCCACCAGTTGAGGAAACCGGTAGTTTCCTGAAATCGCTGTTGGCCAGTCACGGCCCCAACTACCTAGAGAAGCTCTTCGGTAGCAAAGCCCGGGACGCCCTTAAACCCCTGGGCGGTGTCGACAAGGTCGCCATTGCGTTATCAGGTATCACTTTCAGCTACCTCCGGCGCATCCGAATGCAGTTTTTTTTCTGATCGTTCATTTGCAGAGTCACAGACTATCGAAGATTTCGGAGCAGCTCTTCACCTAATGCGCTCGGACTTAGAGCACCTGCGGTCCGTGTTTATGGCGGTTGAAAACGGGGACCTTGGAATGCTGAAATCGCTCGGCATCAAGGACTCCGAATTGGGGGACGTGAAGTTCTTCTTGGAAAAACTGGTGAATACAGGTTTTCTGGACTGAATAATCCCCGACCCTGCTGCTATCTTCTTCGCCCATCCCCAGCCCCACGCGCCCTTGAGTAAGGCGTTCTATTCCTACCTCCCCTACGATACCTATTAAACTTTTCTCTTCCAGCAGCAGAGTCCGCGTTAAAATCCGTCCCTTCTCCACGACCCAAACCCCTTTCTTTCGTCCCCCGGCCTAAGTAAACATACGTCGCGCGACTGTCTCCGCGTTGCGTTTTCGCCTCGAAAGGCTATCCAATATAACAAGAAGAAATTATGATAATGATTATAACATATCAGTATATATATAAATTAATATATATATACACAATTATAATGAAAAAAATTAAGATACATATCATTAGATTATAAAATGAAATTTCTGAAGTACGAAGCATATCATTCATGTGAAGTCAAGTGATGCGATATTAAATAACCTTTTAAGGAAAAATTTTGAATCTCTAGATGTTTAAAATGTGTGCACAAAATATATAAATAAATAAATCAATCATATCAATTAGACAACTCGCGTTGATGCGCGGGTGTTTAACGATCGATTTGTAGGTATTATCTTTGTGATCACTTTGTAAAACGTAGTACTTAAGGAAACCTGGAATTTATCAATGGAGACTCCCGATTCAATTAGGGCGGCACAGAGGTATTTGGTTTTTCTTTTCTATCTCTCTCTCTCTCTCTCTTGCGTAATAATTAGTAGAGCGCGCGTGCGAGATTTTCAAATTGCATGGATAGAGGATGGAGGCTTGTAGTCGGGGCTGTTGGCCGGCCCTTAAAAAACCGCCCCGACCTCTTGTCCGGCCAATTGCATTCGGAAGCGGCTTCGTTCTCCTGAGAAAAAAAAAACATAATAACAAGCAACAAAAACTACAAACAAACAAAGCACATCAGAATTCTATATGAATATGAAAGATATTTATTGTTATGTAATGTTTTGTGAGCGCGAGTTAAATTGGTCGAACCGGCGGCAGTGCGTACGTAGGGCCACGCACCTTGTGCCCTTCACTATTTACCTCACGCACGTGTCCATTTGCTCCGAGGACTAATATATAAATATATATATATACCGTATTGTGATCGCGATGTACATATATTGTAAAGCAAGATACCAAAAAAGTTTTATGGACGAGAGGAAAAAAAACCGGAAGCACCGGAAACGGCATATGTATTTGCTGATGACGACCTGACACTTTTGACTTGGCAAAGGGCGCGAATGCCGCTTCCGGTGCGACCAACTTAGTGAAAGAAAGGTAAAACAAAGTAATTTATAGATAAAGAATTATATGGAAGACGAAGACGCCCGCACAATCACCTCTGCACGCGAAAAAAGAAAGAATAAATAAATAAATATATATATAACAAACAGATGTATAACAAATGAAACAGAATAAGAGAGTTAGCCAAATAAGATATAAAAATATACAAAATATATTTTTTCGACAATTAGTGGTGGTTATCTTTGTGCCCGAAGCAAGATTATGCAGGAAAGGATGGAATGAGAACGAAAATTAATCATAGAAGGTTACCTCGATTTATCATTATATAAAAAAAAAGAAGATCTATTTTACATAAATATAAGAAAGGCTGGTTTTATCTATACATATCAAAATGTTTTCTAATCATTATTATATTATTAATGCATATGAGATTATTTGTGAAGTGGCATTTTTAAATCAAATAAAATTATATTACTTACACGTGTTATTATTTATTGCCCTTATCCTTTCCCTATCAATACAACATTATATGACATGTATAGTCCTTTGGGATGAAATACCTTTTATCAGTCACCAACATTTTCTTTACAGTTGTTCCTAGTTACATTCTATAACACAAATAAAAATGTTTACAAATTGTAATTTAATAATATGAATTATTTTAACTGAACAAACACAATTTCTTCATCAGATTAAATCAGTTTATATACAGTTTAGTTCAAGTTTTCTTTTAATATCCCAATAATATTAAGGACGAAAAAACTTAAAGCAATTGTCCCGTTGCAATGTATTTATTGGTATTATTATTGTTATAATAACTATTGTTAATATAGCATAGTCTTTCCACCCTTTCATATTTTTTTAAATTAGTGTTTCTTGAATATAATGTAAATTTTATTGATTAAGACACAGTTTAAATTTGAAACGAAAAACAATTTCTGAAGAATAGCTACTTTTAATTATAAGATTGTATGAACAAAATCACGCATTCTCCATTAATTATAACATTATTTATTTTGTTCTAAAAGTAGAAACACTCAAGGCAAGGACTAGAGTTGCTTTATTAATATAATCATAGATGGAAAAGTAAATGTAATTATGGATTGATTGTATTTGCAAATATATTGAATATTACAACAGTACAAGCAGTTTATAATAATCGTTTACATTAAACGTTACTAAATAACAATAATTCGTATCGGAGCAAACAGTAACATAAGGAAACTGCCTTTTTTTTAGAAAATTGTCTTTTGTAAGGTATCACAATACATTAAATTTTGTATAAAATAATTAATTTTCATAGTTTTGTAGTTGAATTAAATGCAATTGATGTTTCAAGTTTTTTTTTCCTTTATTAATATGATATCCATATCTAATGTAGCATTGGTTTGTTGAAGCAGCGAATAATAATTCACACAACAGGCAGTAGTAAGTTTTCGATATGTTAATAATATATAGTACCTAGTAATGATAATTAATATGAAAATTCAATTTTATGTTTGTTTCCTTTAAAGCTACTAGAAGAATGTAAATACGTTGGTCAAAGATAAAATATAATATGAAATATAAATACTATAAAGATGATAGAATATTGTTTTTCTATATATGTTTGTATGGTGTCAAAGATTAGACCGATTCGGCGGGACTTTGGAACTCAGAAAGGGCATGAATGGGGTTCTGCACTTTCTTCTGAGAGCCTTTACGCACCTTTGCACGAACCTCTTCGGGTCGTTCAGGCCGAACCAGAGGTTTTTTCTCAGGCGCTTTCATTTTCCAAACGACAATAGGCGACTGAAAAGGATCAAATTAATTCATGTTTTCACGCCGAAAGGAAAATAGTACTTACATACTAAGTTCCACAGATAAGTACAAACAAATAAATGTATGAATTAAAAATGAAATTAAATAAATTTGATTTAATTACCGCAACTGCCGTTTGGCGTGGATACTTGGTGGATGCGACGTATGAAGCTTTCACTGTCAAGACAACAGCATTCATCAGATTTTTGGCGGCTTGGATTAAAGACGTCGCGCTGTCCAGGCCAGAAACGATAAGTTCACCACTAATGTTCTGCACATCCGCCTTAACTTTCGAAGTGATGTTCATCTGATGGCAGTATAAAGCAATCCGCTGCAAATACGCGAGTAAATCTTTTTTAGTCGAACTTTCTGGACATTGCTCAGCAATCTGCCTAGTAAGTTTATCCAACTTTGTTCCCGCTTCGGATATCTTCTTGGCAGCATTAATAACATCCATCGTTGTCTTTAGAGGACCGCGTCCGCTTTGGAAATAATAATCTTATTATGTAACCATTTTTCCAAAGATCATACAAATCTTACCGAGTGAAGTCAGTCATCTCCATCATAATCATGCACATATGTTTGGCAAGCACAATTATATCATTTCCAGTGTCATCCCATTTAGCAACTTCTCTGTCAAACTTCAATTTTTCGCTTCTGAAGTATTCGACTTGCTGCAATATTTTCTGCTTATCTTCCTCAGGCATTTTACCCATGGCTTCCTAAAATATAATTTTACCAATTTGCTAATATATTGAAGTAGTGTTACTGACCCTAGCGGTGGTTATTCCACTAATATCGGGATATTCATCAACTCCATGTTCTCCAGTGTGAGCGCTCGCTAATAGAAGAATGAATTAATAGGATGTAATTAAATATATCATAATTAAGTTACATTTGCTTCGAGTCTCCAAAGTATAATTCTCGTCTACAACTACGTCCTCGGGATCAAGATCTTCGTCAGCTCTATTCATTAGTACAGCTCTTCGAATCTCTCTGACGCCATCATAAACGAGTCTAGCAGCATCAATAAAATCATTTTCGTCAACTTCTTTTGGAGGATTACTAGATAAAGCCGCCACTCCAACTGAAACTCTTTGGCCGAATTTAGGCATAACCTGATCGTTGAGAACTTTTACGGCTTCCAACACTCGCTTAGTATAGACGCATGGCTCGTAATTGTCCATCTCCGCTGTTACCACGTTGCAAACCCTGCTCGATCTACCCCTAATACCACCGGCCGTTCTCTCCAGAGTATCCCCGTCGCATTCCTGCAGCGCCAATACACACTTGTTGACATCTTCAAGAATGTGATTTTCGGAGACAGCCAAAAAGTCGTCGATAGTTGTGATATCATCAACAGCCTCAGTCAAAATGCGCACTTGGTTCTCCCAAGCCTGCTTGAATGCGTCCATATTTTCTTGAGCAACTTTGCTACGATGTCGTGCTGCCAAAATATGGGCAGCATTTATGACCTCAGGGCAGAGGTTGTCAATTTGAGCAGCAGCGTATCGAACCATTTTTACGCCATCCTCATTGTTGGACATGCTGCATACCAAATTTGCGACTTCCACTAACTTATTAGAATGCTCGGTAAATACAACGGCGTACTCGTCGACCTCTTTTTCGTTTCCATTCTGTGCTGCCTTTATTAATACAAGAAGAGGCACATTCGTCTCCAAAAAACTATAACAAAAATGAATAATGATCAATGTTTCAAGAAACGCAGTCAGAATCAAACCTATCAGACACATGATCTACAACAGCTTTTCTTAGCTGCCTTCTTAAGTCCCTAGTTTTCTTTCCCATATGATCAATTGCATGGCCCAAGCCATCGCTTTGTTCTTTGTTACCAATCTGCAAATATTTTAATTGAAATTCCGATTTTACGAGCGACCTCGGACTATGCATGCATCATACATTTAACGTGCAAATATTTATAACTTCCATTTCAAAAGTAATCAATCTACTCACAGGACTTAAAACCAATTATTTACTATGTTTATCATCAAGTTATCGTTAACATACCACATGCTGGAATATTAGGAATAAATAATGGAAAAATTAGTGTGAAAGAAATATGTAAAGTGTGCACAAAACAAGTAAACGCTATTGAAATATTTACCCGTGCCCCTCCACGTAATACTTGCATTTGCTAAGCAAATTTTAGAAAAAAAATAATAATAATATGATCACAATTTTTGTTAAGATGAATACGACATTTACGTACATTTGACATGTATTCGGAGAGAAGGTCTTGGAGCGCTTGACGAACAGCGTTACATTCGGCCACGATCCTTTCGCGACGCTCATCTCTTGTACAACTGGAATCTGCCATCAAAGCAGCTCCACTGATAATACTCTCTAAACGCTCCTCCAGAGAGGGACGAGTATGGACCTCGTTATATGCAAGAGGTTCCATTTCCATATGTTCCTATAATCAAAACCGTGAATCCCTTGTGCTCATTAGCAAACAGACAGCAATTACGTCAAATTCATCAAGAGCTGCTGCAAGTTCTCCTGGTCCATCATACGGACTTTGTGTGGGCTGCGGAGTTCTTCCTTGGGCTACATCACTGATGGTATTAACAGCTTCGCATACCTGTTTTAAAACATAATCGCGGTTCGCTTTAGCCGCTGCTAACTCTGGATGACGCACATAGACTTTAGATGCAGTCAAAAGCATAGTAGAATGCTTCTTAAGCACAGCCCTAGCAGCTGCCAAGTCATCCCTAAGTTGTGGATCTTTCAATTCCTGCTGCCTCTTAGCAGCTTGATTCATCAATTCATTAGCATTGTGTCCAAAAGCTTTAATATTATCCAACAGTTCACCTTGACTAGATGCATCACGCAGTTTTTGTAAATCATCTTCAACAACTCTAAGAGATTTTAGCAATAAATGCACATCAACCATATCAGCCAGAATTAATAAACGCGTTACAGCTGATAGCAAATTTCTAGCTGCTCTTACCATATTACCACGTTTTAGTGATGAACAGGGATCTTCTGAGAATTCCCTAGCTGCAATACTCATTGCAGTTCCTAAATATGCAACACATCAAAATTCATAACATCCTGTATACCACAAGTTTTACAAACCTGTTTTTCTGACCTCATCTACAGCAGATAACATTTCTTGTGTTATGTCCTTGTTTTCATAAGCAATCTGTTCTCCCTTCTGAATGAAATTCTCTGTTGCTTTCTCAACAGTACTTACAAGTGCATTTGCCCTTTTTGATTTTCCTTTTTTCTTCTTGCTTGGTCCTTTTGTGTTGACCAGTGTTGTCACTTGCAGGACTAGCGGCTCTAGGGTCTTCTCTACAGACATTGTTCTAATCTCTAAATTCTTTGGGTCCCATTTTAGGCCGAAATGGTCAGCCATGGTTGCAGTATTTTTAACTGCAAAATACGCATTAATTGGATAATTGGTATAACACATTACTGCTTACACCAGTACCTATTGTTGAACGTAAAATGAATGTGAATCTAGCACACGCTAAAACAGCTACGTTTGTTTATTTATTTAGGTATTTGTAAACTTCAAAGAAACCACTCCCACATAACAAAGACGCTACTGTATATATGTTATAAAGCATAGCTGCAACCCAATTAACATTGTAACAATATTGTGGCCTATTTCCAAAATGCGCCATCTGCAGAGTCTTAACAAATGAAACTTCATATAGACCACCTTCATAACATATTTTTAAATCAATGAATATTTGCTAAACGTATTTACATATATTTAGGTGGAGTGACCTATGGTCAGTAGCCCTTTGTTACATTTCATTATTTTTGAAATATAATATCCTGAAGTTTTGGAAATGTATTACAACTTTTGTTATTTTTTAATACTTTATTCATGTCTTGTATTAAAGGCGAATTTACATGTTATAGTAATGTGTAATTACTTACATATATATGAAAAATTGTTATATATTTAATTTATATGATTAATATGATTTACGTTATAAAAAATATATTAATTTTGATTTAAGTAATATTGGTTACATAAATACAATCTACTGTAATCTGGCAAAACCATAACAGAACGAGTTGATTAATACACTGTGCATTGCTGTTTATTACCATTTATTACGTTCAGTGCCGTTATTTGTTTATTTTTTGATGATTTCTGAGCTCCTGATCTTACGAAACTGCAGTGGAAAAACGATTTGTGTGAAACGTAGATAATGGTTGATAACTAGAGAAGGAAGGAAGATTAACCTTATTAGTTATACAAATTGTTATCAAAGTAGATTAATGCAATTTAGGAGGGGATATGAACATATCACAAGACATGGATCCATTTCATTAGAAACAATGAGCAAATATTGGTGTTTCCTTTTAATTCCTCTAATAGGACTGTGTTTCCTATTCACAGTGAACACAGCCAGTAACAGTTTGAAATTGGTTCAAATTGTAAGAGTTAAGAGTTTAGTATAAATTACTTATTATTAATTTCTCATTTCTCAGTTATTCAGGCATGGAGAAAGAAGTCCACTGGAAAGTTACCCATTGGATCCACACAAGGATCACAAATGGCCTGGTGGATGGAATCAATTGAGCAATGTAAATTATATATTAATTAATGTATTTTCTTTGACTAATTACAAATTTTAGAGAGGTAAATTAGAGGAATATAATTTGGGCTTACAATTAGCTGAGAGGTATAAAGATTTCTTGCCAAAAAAGTATCACTTGGAAGATGTTTTGGTTCAGAGTAGTTATGCAGATAGATGTATTATGAGTGCACAGCTTGTCTTGGCTGGATTGTTTCCACCAATTAAAGATCAAATATGGAATACGAATTTAATGTGGCAACCAATTCCTGTACACAGCATTCCCAGATTTATAGATAATGTATATTCATTTAATTAATTCACATATACAAAAATAATAATAATATTTTCAGAAAATAGCTTTGAAAAAGAAATGCTCTAAGTATGATGATTTATTAAAAGAGGCACTGAATTCTGAAAGAATACAAAAGTTAATTGTAAACAATACGCAGCTATTCGATTATATAACAACAAATACCGGATATAATGTGCATGATATTGGCACACTGGAAACGCTTTACAACACCTTGGAAATTGAAAAACTTAATGGTCTGCAGTTGCCCGATTGGACAAAGTCCGTGTTTCCGGACAAAATGAAGGATATAGCTGCAACTAGTTTGGCAATTTTTACGGAAACGCTTAAAATGAAGAAGATTCACGGAGGAATGTTGCTCAAAGAGATACTGGAACACATGAATGACAAAGTGAATCTTACTTTGGATCCAAATAGGAGTTTGTTTATGTATTCTGGTCATGATTTAACAGTCGTGAGTCTTTTGAGAGTCCTTGGATTTGATGAACTTGTCAAACCAGAATTTGGTGCTTCTGTAATAATCGAACTTCACGAAGTTTCTGATAAATATATTGTTAAGGTAATATGGAAAATGCAATCATTTAAACATATCTAATAGTAATAATGTTTCAGTTCTTGTATAAAGCAAATCCTCTAGCCGAAGTGAATGAATTAGTTTTGGAGGAGTGTGGAAATCCGTGTTATCTAGAGAAATTCACGAATGTTTCATCTAAAGTCATACCTTCTGATTGGGAAAAGGAATGCCAAAACTAAATTAATTATGTAATCACATATGTTATATTTGTTATCAAATTTATATTGTCTATTTCATAAAAAAAAAACAAATAAAAATATTGTTTATATAAATATTATGATGTTGAGTACGTTCGTGTGAATGAATAATGGAATTTCACTGTTCGTTTAACGTACAGCAATTTGTATATTATACAACTGTCAATATACAAATTACAGTATCATTATTGTATAATTAGCATTGCTTTGAGTAGTTAATAAAAAAAACAGCACATTATAAATATTCCAATTTATTTTGAGTATCATACAATATATTAAAAGAGAAATGTATACAAAAAGAACAAAACATGACGATTAAAATTTTATTTTAGAGACAAAAAAAACAAAAAAAAAATCAGAGCTCAGTTTGTTATTAAATAAGATGAAGTGTGTAGTTTAAATGTTAATCCCCTATTTTAGAATGTGATAATACAATAATCTGCAGCACAGTAGTTACAATTAGGCAGAAGTAAGCACCGACAATGCAATCGTTGATTTTTTTGTGTGAAATTTACTGGAAAACCGACGATTGTACAATAGAAAATAAAATGAAAATAATAATATTAACTCTCTTCTCGTTACTTTGTTTATACTATAATCTATTAAGACACTGGTTGCATTCCTCTTTCTTTTCTTCGAACCTCATATTTACACCAAGGCTTTTATCTATCACTCCGTAGAAAAGTTTTCTACAAACTTTTTATATGATATGTCAATATTGTCAATTCAATGTAAAGCTAAAATCACATTTCCATGTTACCGTACCATCATTAAATATAAATAAATAGCCTTTTGTATTTTCCTTCCATGTTTGCATCATTTTGTCTAAAGGGAAAAATTTAATTATCCTCAAGACAACATGATGCAAAAAAAAATTTAACACTCACATATATATACATTCATACATATATGCATATGTGTGTGTATATATATATATATTATAATATAAATTGACATTTGTTAAAAACTATATTATATAAAGAAAATTAAATTTTATATATATAATACAAGAAAAGAATAAAATGTTAAAAATTTTGTCACAAACAAAAAGATAAAACAAAAAGAGAACAAATCGATTAAACATTTGCATCTTCTTTCACAACACTTTTCTATTCATCTCAACTTTCATATAATCATTATCATCATCATCATTATTATTTTTTTTAGAAAAATTATCACATGTTAAACATATTATTAATTCATATAATTTCTCGTCAATCGAATCAAATACACCTATCTAGCCAATGGCACAAAATGCATTTTTTCACAGCCAAACATTGTTTTTTTTATCCTCAAACCTCCCTTAATCAAACGCTCACCGTTAAATTCAATTTTTCATCGCGAAACAAAAAAAAAAACGAAATCGAACAAAAAAAATATATAAGAATACTGAAAAATCCTTCTCTATACATAAAAAATTCTTAACAACTAGAAAAAATAATTATTATGGCATAAATAGGTGATCTCTCTCTTGTTATATACATATATGTATATATAAATATACATCCATGTATATATATATATATATATTT